CAGAAGCTGGGCATTATCAGTATTATCTGTTGATTCATCCACAGCTAATGAAATGCATGCTGCATTCTGAATGGCCTCATCAAGTTGTGAAGTAAAATCTTCAGCTAATATTTCAGTTATCCTCATTGCTGTGGAATCTGACAGTGGGATCTGTTTGATCTTTCCCCTGAGCTCATCTTTTTGTTTACCTTCAAGCAAGGTGTCAGCAACTTCACACATGCATTATTTTACCATCTCAGCGTCTGAAAATGTTTTTGTTTGTGTTTTCCCAAAACCTCAGTAAACACTCCATTGCACGTTGTTGGGCTCTCAGAGAATTGATAATGATTTTGGTGGACCTCTCATTTTGGGATTTGAGTTGGTTAATCTTGTTTGTTCTCACCTCAGTGTTCAGGGGATACGTCTGATCGAATTTACTATATCTGGTGTCATAATGGCGCTAAACATTGGCACTTTTCACGAGAACTACGGACTCACTGCATATCAGGCACATTGGTTTTGTGCTAGTTGCGGGGAGAATGATTAAATACTGTTCCATCCACACGTCTTTGAAAATACGGTTTTCAGACTCAACTTATCTTTTTTTTTTAACAAGCCATATTAACTAAGATACTGGTAACTAAGCTCCTTCTATCTGTGATCTTTACAGTTGAACCGCGGTCAAATCTTTATTTTTCTTTATGCCTACTTGTCCCAAGGTTCCGCGGAGGATATTTGGATTAATGTAATTTCTGCCTGCTTGTCCCAAGGTTCCACTTAGGATATTTTGATTAATGTGATTGGGTAAAACGCGGCCTCTGGTATTTGCATATAACCACACGATTGGATTAGACGGGGCACTAGTAGAGGTGGGCGTTGCTTCGAGAGAGAGCGCGAGAAAGAGAGGTTGCTGAGTTAAAGAGGCCGCTGCGCTCGGTAGATTTTTTTTTAAGCTGTCTAAAAATAATGTATTGACGTATATATAACAAAATGCGATGTTGTCCGGTCCGGAATGACCCTTCTCTGGGTCCGGACCCGGACCGCGGTCCGCCAGTTGAGTTTGGCTGCTATAGGCTCTGAAGTGAATGCTAGGAGAAGCACAGAACAAAGTTATACACTGCTCAAAACAATTAAGGGAACACTAAAATAACACATCCTAGATCTGAATGAATGAAATAATCTTATTAAATACTTTTTTCTTTACATAGTTGAATGTGCTGACAACAAAATCACACAAAAATTATCAATGGAAATCAAATTTATCAACCCATGGAGGTCTGGATTTGGAGTCACCCTCAAAGTTAAAGTGGAAAACCACACTACAGGCTGATCCAACTTTGATGTAATGTCCTTAAAACAAGTCAAAATGAGGCTCAGTAGTGTGTGTGGCTTCCACGTGCCTGTATGACCTCCCTACAACGCCTGGGCATGCTCCTGATGAGGTGGCGGATGGTCTCCTGAGGGATCTCCTCCCAGACCTGGACTAAAGCATCCGCCAACTCCTGGACAGTCTGTGGTGCAACGTGGCGTTGGTGGATGGAGCGAGACATGATGTCCCAGATGTGCTCAATTGGATTCAGGTCTGGGGAACGGGCGGGCCAGTCCATAGCATCAATGCCTTCCTCTTGCAGGAACTGCTGACACACTCCAGCCACATGAGGTCTAGCATTGTCTTGCATTAGGAGGAACCCAGGGCCAACCGCACCAGCATATAGTCTCACAAGGGGTCTGAGGATCTCATCTCGGTACCTAATGGCAGTCAGGCTACCTCTGGCGAGCACATGGAGGGCTGTGCGGCCCCCCAAAGAAATGCCACCCCACACCATGACTGACCCACCGCCAAACCGGTCATGTTGGAGGATGTTGCAGGCAGCAGAACGTTCTCCACGGTGTCTCCAGACTGTCACGTCTGTCACATGTGCTCAGTGTGAATCTGCTTTCATCTGTGAAGAGCACAGGGTGCCAGTGGCGAATTTGCCAATCTTGGTGTTCTCTGGCAAATGCCAAACGTCCTGCACGGTGTTGGGCTGTAAGCACAACCCCCACCTGTGGACGTCGGGCCCTCATACCACCCTCATGGAGTCTGTTTCTGACCGTTTGAGCAGACACATGCACATTTGTGGCCTGCTGGAGGTCATTTTGCAGGGCTCTGGCAGTGCTCCTCCTGCTCCTCCTTGCACAAAGGCGGAGTTAGCGGTCCTGCTGCTGGGTTGTTGCCCTCCTACGGCCTCCTCCACGTCTCCTGATGTACTGGCCTGTCTCCTGGTAGCGCCTCCATGCTCTGGACACTACGCTGACAGACACAGCAAACCTTCTTGCCACAGCTCGCATTGATGTGCCATCCTGGATGAGCTGCACTACCTGAGCCACTTGTGTGGGTTGTAGACTCCGTCTCATGCTACCACTAGAGTGAAAGCACCGCCAGCATTCAAAAGTGACCAAAACATCAGCCAGGAAGCATAGGAACTGAGAAGTGGTCTGTGGTCACCACCTGCAGAACCATTCCTTTATTGGGGGTGTCTTGCTAATTGCCTATAATTTCCACCTGTTGTCTATTCCATTTGCACAACAGCATGTGAAATTTATTGTCAATCAGTGTTGCTTCCTAAGTGGACAGTTTGATTTCACAGAAGTGTGATTGACTTGGAGTTACATTGTGTTGTTTAAGTGTTCCCTTTATTTTTTTTAGCAGTATATTTCTAAGATAGTTGCTGGGATAGTGTACATAAAACTACAGTCGTGGTCAAAAGTTTTGAGAATGACACAAGTATTGGTCTTCACAAAGTTCACTGCTTCAGTGTTATGAGATATTTTTGTCAGATGTTACTGTGGTATACTGAAGTATAATTACAAGCATTCCATAAGTGTCAAAGGCTTTTATTGACAATTACATTTAGTTTATGCAAAGAGTCAATATTTGCAGTGTTGACCCTTCTTTTTCAAGATCTCTGCAATCCGCCCTGGCATGCTGTCAATTAACTTCTGGGCCACATCCTGACTGATGGCAGCCCATTCTTGCATAATCAATGCTTGGAGTTTGTCCGAATTTGTGGGTTTTTGTTTGTCCACTCGCCTCTTGAGGATCGACCACAAGTTCTCAATGGGATTAAGGTCTGGGGAGTTTCCTGGCCATGTACCCAAAATTTCGATGTTTTGTTCCCCGAGCAACTTAGTTATCACTTTTGCCTTATGGCAAGGTGCTCCATCATGCTGGAAAAGGCATTATTAGGCTTAGTCCAAAAAACGCAATATCTTGCGCACAGACTAGCCTATAGCCTATGTTCCGTTCAGTTTGAGAAGGAGAGTGCAGAGATGAGGAGGACCACAGGTCAACTTTGATAGCTTTCTACTACTATAATTGATTTTATTAAAAACAATATGTTTCTTGCCCATGATGTATTTATCAGAATTATTGACCTCACAATAAAACAGATGAGAGTAATTTACATTGTGGTGCTGAAACGTGAAGCAGCAGGCGCGAAACAATCACTCGGAAATGGACAGCTCATGGTACTGAAAGTAGGCAAATTCGAGTAGACATAATTAATTTCAACGTCTTCATTTTTATTTAGACTTTACTAACAAGAGGGTTTTGGGTTGGAGCCTATTTCTTCCTATTTAAGAAATAATAGGCAGGACTACCTGTTTGACAGACGAAATTAGGTTATAGCCTGCTATATCCATAGATTTGTCGGTCAATTCCTCCACCCACCATGCACTCTTTAAATAGCCTACCTCTGTGTCTGTTAAGTTATAACCAAGACTCGAATTGAGGGGGTATGAGAGGTTATGCTGTAGGCCTACCTTTTATTAAAGAAAATGACGAAAAGCACAGGCGTACCCCTTGTTAGTTTACGATTTTGAAGAAGATAAAATATATAAAGTGATCTATAACAGCGCTTTGGTCCGCGATGCTTTATGCTAGAAACAAGCTGTAAAATACCCGGGAAAGACGTGACTCCGATATGGAGATATCAGAGGCTAGACAAAAAATAGACTTTGCTTGAGAAGTAATCTAATTCTGTCACTATCAATTGATTTAAACTATTCACTTTTTGTACAATAGAAGATGTTTATACCCAGACAGCTTCTAGGGAAACACTTGTGACCTCTCGTTGGGTTAAGCCATGTAACCAGCAGTTAAACTTACGTTCTGCGTCGGTAGGCCTACTCTGTCTGGAGTGGAAAGGTAGACCTAACTTTTGAAAGTACCATGCTTAGATTCCTAATGACGTCTCGGATGTAATAATTTGCAAACAGGGACAGTTTCGTTGCAAGTCAATATTTGGAAGGTGTTCTTAATGTTTTGAACACTGTATTTTGCTTTAGGGAGGGCCAGCCATTTTAATTTCAGGTCTAATTTTCTCCATGTAACCCTTATTATAAATAACGTTCAATCCCTTTTGGCGACAGATTTTCATGCGAATATTCAAAAAACTGCAATAAGAAAATATGCGCATTTTCCCCAGCAGTGGTGTGCTTCCGTCAAATGGACTTCTGGATAAAAATTACTGCGTGATGATGTAGCGCACACAAAACGTACTTCTTCGTTTAAGTTTTCATGTACCGAATAAAAACCTAAAGTTCAATGTGTTTCCATCGCATTTTCAACTCTACCGATAGTTTTGTCACAAAAACTGTTGCATTAAATAGTAAATGTGCCTACTATGGTCTTGGCACGTGCGCTCTAGACAACAGCTCGCAATTACAGTGCGGGTAGGCTAGTCTACATGAGATTATTGTGGATAGTCTAAGAGCAAGAATATTTGTATTGTCAAACGGTAGTCAAGCATCTATCATCATGTCACTAGAATAAGACCCTAGATATTTATTGAAAAGGAACATCAATATCACAATGCATTTTCTTTCATCACCCTGTGAAATTCAAGTTATTCCACATGTAGCCTAAAAAACTGCATGGTTTCCTGAGTCGTAGTGGGAGGACCACACACCATATCATCGTGCGACTCCAAATTCACTTCGATATGATAGTTATATCAATATTTGCAGTATAAAGGCGTTTCGTATAAAGGCGTTTCCACCGCCATTTCTGCCATAATGAATTTGACATAAAGATCCCACCATGTCGAACGAACAAATTATGTCGGCATTTTATTTTTTAAATGTACCGACATTTCCTGTTTCCATCACAGCTGATTATGATAAAATAGGTATGATTTCACTCTCATAAATACTGTGGATGGAAACATGGTTAGTGTGACAAATGTGTGGTTTGATCTGTTTAAAGAGCACCAGCTGCCCAATTACTCTCAAAGCATCCACCAAATAGTTCCCTGATGCAATGGCCACAACCATCATGGGACTGGAGATGATTTGGAACACTATTTAATCACTGGGATAAGCTCCAAATGTATGTTATGTTGTGAAAATGTTTTACTAATGAGGTGGTGCAATAGTGTATATGTAATGCACTTTAAACACTTGAAGCTGGTTTTATGGAGCCAGGTTAATCATTGATACAACTTATTTTACAAACAAAATAGTCTAGAACAAAAACAATATGTTATTGTTATGAAATGATTATTTTAAAGTGAAATATATACATTCCAATTAAAGATAAATAACATTACACTGTACATTTGTGCTGATACAAAAATAGATACAAGACATTATATGGACATATGTCATTAACATTTTGAAATTATTCTGGTTTGAGAGATCAACACCCTGTCTTCAATGTGAATGTCTAGGTTTATATCTGATGGCCAGGTCTCCTTCAGGCTGCAACATTCCAAACCCAAAGCGACTGGTGTTCACCTCTGGCATCTGAGCCTCTGAGTCACACAGCTCCAGATCCAGATGAGACAGCACCAGGTACACAAACCTGAACACACAGATAGACACACAATAGGTGAGTTGTTGGCATAATACACTACAAACGTGCCTAAACTGTAACATTGACCATTGCACACACCAGTTTTTGCAGAATCCATTTATATTATCTTTTGGCATGTTCAATTTGCATAGCAGTGAAATTCATGTCACTGTAACCCAATCTTGCATAGACACCTGCTTAGTAAAAGACAGCTGCTAAGCCTTCCATCTTCCTTTAATGGCATTTGCTGTAAGGTGAGATAATCAATACCAGATTTAAGTAATGTCCTTGATTTGGGTGAAGTGGGGATCTCTGACCTCCCCCTAAGACAAGGAACACTCAAACACTCACTGTCTGATGGAGCTGATGGCAAAGCGTTTGCCCACACAGCCGTTGGTGCCTGCGCCCCATGGCATGGTGTAGTACTTGAGCAGTCTCCCTCCTTTAAAGAAGTCCTTCTTCACAGATCCGTCTTGGTTGAGGAAGCGTTCGTACTTGAATCTCTATGACAGGAAACGCAGGGAGGTAAAGCAGTGAACCCAGCTCATGCTGACAAATGATGATCACACATGACTGTTCCCCCACGCTTCCTGCTGCACACAACCATATCATATGGCAATATTAGCCTGTTATTACCCAATTATTTACTACAATTTCCCTGTGTATTCCACGAACTGGCTGGTACTGTAGGGTGGAGAAGGACAACGCAATGACGCAGCTGTGTAACTTATTAGGGAGCTATTCTTTGTTCATGTGTGAGAGGCAACTGACATCCATACCTGTGGTTCCTGGTGGATCTCAGGATCCATCTGAGGGCTAATGAAGGGGAACAGACACACTCTGTCCCCCCTCCTGAGCTGGTACTCCTGCCCATTGGCCATGTGCAGGGTCTTTCCCTGCACTACCTCTCTGGTGATGAAGGGGGCAGCACTGAGCCTCAGCGTCTCCTCTAAGGCACTGTCTGGGAGGGGGGAGGACAAAGAAAAGAAGAGGATGAACACTAATGTACACAGACTCATTAAGCATACAGGGGTTATGTCCGCGTAATAGATTCGCCAAGGTCATTCTCATTTGAGGAGTCCCTGAAGAGGAGTTACACTTTAAAAAAGGGCTCAAGGCAGGTTTCCATCTTCAGGTTAGTGGCACTTTCCTTATGTGGTCATTATTTGCACTGGAGGTTAGAGCACCTGTTGATGGTGACATGGGAGCCATTAGATAATTGAGAGCAACTTTCAGGGCCTGAGCAGGTGGATCTGCCCTGGTCCTTTAGTCATTGAGCTTATTAGGGTCACAGGCAAAGACTACTGTATGTGTGGCCACTCACCTGGGAACAGTGTGATGTGTATACATACATACATACACACACACACACACACACACACACACACACACACACACACACACACAGTACCAGTCAAAAGTTTGGACACTCCTACTCATTCAAGGGTTTTTCTTTATTTTTACTATTTTCTACATTGTAGAATAATAGTGAAGACATCAAAACAATGAAATAACACATATGGAATAATGTAGTAACCAAACCAAAATGTTGTTATATTGGAGATTCTTCAAATAGCCACCCTTTGCCTTGACAGCTTGGCACACTCTTGGTATTCTCTCAACCAGCTTCACCTGGAATGCTTTTCCAACAGTCTTGAAGGAGTTCCCACATATGCTGAGCACTTGTTGGCTGCTTTTCCTTCACTCTGCGGTCCAACTCATCCCAAACCATCTCACTTGGGTTGAGGTTGGGTGATTCTAAATAAATCACAGACAGTGTCACCAGCAAAGCACCCCCACACCATAACACCTCCTCCTCCATGCTTTATGGTGGGAAATACACATTCGGAGATCATCCGTTCACCCACACAGCGTATCACAAAGACACGGCGGTTGGAACCAAAATTCTCCAATTTGGACTCCAGACCAAAGGACAGATTTCCACCGGTCTAATGTCCATTGCTCGTGTTTCTTGGCCCAAACAGGTCTCTTCTTCATATTGGTGTCCTTTAGTAGTGGTTTCTTTGCAGCAATTCGACCATGAAGGCCTGATTCACACAGTCTCCTCCGAACAGTTGATATGTGTCTGTGACTTGAACTCTGAAGCATTTATTTGGGCTGCAATTTCTGAGGCTGGTAACTCTAATGAACTTATCCTCTGCAGCAGATGTAACTCTGGGTCTTCCATTCCTGTTGCGGTCCTCATGAGAGCCAGTTTCATCATAGCGCTTGATGGTTTTTGCGACAGCACTTGAAGAAACGTTTCCGGATTGACTGACCTTCATGTCTTAAAGTAATGATGGACTGTCGTTTCTCTTTGCTTATTTGATCTGTTCTTGCATAATATGGACTTGGTCTTTTACCAAATAGGGCTGTCTTCTGTATACACAACTGATTGGCTCAAACGCATACCTCATGAAGCTGGTTGAGAGAATGCCAAGAGTGTGCAAAGATGTCATCAAGGCAAAGGGTGGCTATTTGAAGAACTTCAAATATAAAATATATTTATTTTGATTTGTTTAACACTTTTTTTGTTACTACATGATTCCATGTGTTATTTCATAGTTTTGAGTCTACAATGTAGAAAATAATAAAAATAAAGAAAAACTTTAGATTGGTACTTATATATATATATATATACACACACACACACACAACCAATCTCTCCTCCCACCCACCCACCCTCTTTTCCCTCATGATTTTAAAACAGAAATACTCTGTTCATTAGGGTACATTTGCCCATAGGGATGAAGCTCCTTGTCTTTGTGCAGATGATCCAGTAAACAAGAAACACTCACCAAACACAGGCGTGTGCTGCAGCCGGTCCAGTAGGGGACACTGTGCAGAGTCCTGCTCAGAGATGCTGCTGAACTCTCTCCTCACCGCCCTCATGGCCTCAGGGTTTGTCAACAGGAAACCCAACAGCCAAAATGCAGCAGGTCCAACGTTACCCTGGCAACAAATGAAGGTTGACATGAAGACAATGGCACAGTGAGTTCCCTTTCCGATGGTTCTCAGTTAGACTCTGCAGGTAGCAATTAAGTAACAGGATAAGAGAACATTACACACCACATGCCAGCTCTTACTATTTTCTCTCATAGGGGCAACCATCACTTGTTAATATAGTTAAATCACAAGGCCTAATGAATTAGACCGGTTCCTTTCCTGTGTCTATGATAGAGAACCATGTTCTGGCTACTGTCAGGGGGTAAGTGCTGTAATGGTTTACTTTAAAAGGAAAGCCATTAGACACCAAAGAGACTCAATATGGAGTGTTCGAGGGCACACTGGGCTATCCTGGCCATCTGTCTGTGTTTGTACATGAGTGGAAAGACCACTGAATTTACATCACCTCCAGACTAAACAATGTTTGCCATGTATAGTGCTGAGCGATTTGTGCTTTTTGGGGTCGGTTTGGTTTGGGTTCGATTATTTAAAAAAACTATCAAGTTTCTTGATTTCAATAAAAAAAGATTAGACATTAAATGCACTATGCATTGTGTGAGTTGAAAGCTGTAACACAGAATAAAACAATTAACAAAAGTCCCATGATGGTAGTGACTGCCCATTACTGATTATCACTCATTTACCATAATTTATTCACATTACTTTAATACAAATATTTGTTTTATTTGATGACTTTATTCTTTTATTCCAAGTCATCATCTCATATAGAGCTGCTCTATGCGATCTGACAAAATCACTATTTTAATAGTTCTTCAAAAAGGAAATAAGGCATACTTTTATGACTGCTGAATGCCAACTACCAATCACTTAGATAATGTATTTTCTGGCTCACGAAGCACTCCACTTTCTATCCCTCTCGATAGTGTGTTCTCTTGTTTCGCACAGACCGGACAAGTTTAAGCAGGTGCATAATGGATTATGGTCATTGTAGTTAATTACCACTACAACGCCATCGCACTGTTCAAGTTCGATCTGATTTATCTCTATAGAAACTGTACATCGAGCTCACAGAAAAAACCAGAAGGAAATGGAATTCAAATAATTGAACCGACGTCGGTCAATTAGTTGTAAAAAAAAAAAAAACGACATTTCGGTTAATCGCTCAGCACTAGCCATGTAATATGCTACACTATACACTATCTAGGAGTTACATACAATACACAAGTTATTTTTGTGGTAACACATTATGTTCTTCACTACATTCTTAGGGGAACTGAAAAATGACAATCAAGGGTTGCATGATGATGGTAGATCATGTGTCTGTGGGAAATTGTAGATGCAGTTATCAGTGCTCAATGGGTGAAGTAAAATGTCTAAGCAGCAGGGTTGGGGTAATTCCATTTCAATTCAGAAAGTAAACCAAATTCCAATTCAGAATATTCTTCATTGAAAAGCATTGAAGACAATTGGAATTTCAGTGTACCTCCTGCACGGACTAGAATTTAAATGGAATTGACCCCAACCATGCTAAGCAGGAGCTGAGTACTCAGAATGTACTTGGTATCATAATGTGTTCAGATATACCCGAAGACACCTTTGTGTCTGTTTAGCTGGCATCAGGCACTTTTATCTACAGTCCATAAAGAGGCTACTAGTGCACTCTTGTGGTAAAGATTAGTATTACATCCATTTGCATCTTTAAGTAGGGAAGTCCTTGCTAGAGCAGGATGAGCAGACCATAGTAGCTCTGTGACAACAATTCTAGCAGCAAAGAGAGCTTGAGAAAATCCCACTGAGGCCATGTTTAGTTGGAGCTCACTGGGAGTAGTCTAACATAGGGATAGGATGTCTGTCCCCTCTAAGATAACAACACTAAAATAAGGTCTAACTGTTCTAGGGTTTTTCCATACACTCCAATGGTTGAGAATACAGCATTAGTATTCATCTTAAAGAACAGCATGTGCTAGTATTTATTTATAGTCTTTTAAAAATAAATCACTTATCACAAATGTATTCTACAATGGTTGGACAAAGTGTAAGGTGTTGCTGACAAACTGGTACAGTAGAATCAGAATTTGAGAGGCACACCTTGTGGGTAGCTGAATTCCACAAAGGGTAACAACCCTAACCAATCGAGTCTAGCATCTAACATTGGCATGCGAGTGTCTTTGTATTGGAACATTTTAATGTTTAAGATGGCTGCTAGCCAGGAGGACATGCTGCTGTATTACTAGGTATCATTGTTGGCCCACCTCCAAAAAGCTATTGAATAGAAAGGAATTTTTCTATGGGTGCAATGGAACAAGGATTTTCACCAATCATTCACAAGACCTATTCAGAACAGCTTTAAATAGCTGGGCAGCGCTTGATTTGTGACAATAAAAAGGCCACTACTCCTCTTAGGGAGGGGAGGTGAGATGGGGGAGTCACTGTGACTCACCTGTGTGGCCCAGAGCTGCAGCAGCAGGGCTCTCCTCTGAGTCTCCTCGTCAGTGCCCTCTTCTTGCAGAAGGTGCCTGTAGCCTCTCAGCCAGGGGCTGGACCCGGAGCCCTCTCCCAGCCCCACCGGGGCCAACAGCTCCCACAGACGCCCCCTCACCTTCTGGGCGGTCCGCTTCTCCTCTGACACACACGCACAGGAACACACAGGCAGGTGAGTCAAGAGTAAACACAGACACACACATTGGTAAAACAGATGAGATCAGACTGAGCTACCTTGATTAGTGAGTCAAGTGTCGATAGATAGATACACGTGACATAATCATTAAAACACAGATACGGGTGGGAGAGGTGGGTAACATGAACATGAGAAACATGAAGAGTGAGTTATAGGTGTGACATGCAAGGTAAGACAGATCCACAAATATGCCATATGAATAGAAAGAGGTGAAAATAGTGACACGGGTAGGGCAGAAACAGGAGATATGTGGGAGTAAGCCGGGAGGTACAAACAAATATAGTATGTATAGTTAGAGAACAGTAAGATCAGATAGAAGAGGGTGAAAAGGACAGGTGACAGTGAGAGGGTGAGAACACAGACAGGTGTGCCAAGGGACATCAGATAGAGCCTGTAGATGAAGCAGGTGTATAACTGAGAAGAAACGACATAGGGACCATGAGTAATTAAGCCAATGTGAGTCGGAAATGGGATTCAAACATTTGACCCACTCAGATAAAGTAATTCACTGCAGTGACCGCACCATGGCAACCAAAAAACAAACTAAAGCCCTTTTACTGATGATGTCACCACAGTGAGTCCATACAATGACAAATCACAAACAGCCAGCTGACTCAATGATATGTATAAAAAGTTGAGTCATGTAAAGTGATCTGGATAATACAGATGTAATTCTTCCCCTATTCAGTCTTTATAATACAACAGGGTAAAACATTCAAACTATAATACCACATCCAAACTGAATTAAGCTCTAAGATCGGACACACCTATTTTTTGATCAACTCCCACGCCAAGCTGCCACTGTACCTTTCCACAGATGTAAAACCTTGTGGCTCATAATGTTTCATGAAGTCACCTGGTTTCAGTGTGGTCCTGGCCATTTTGGTCAGGAGGTTGTCAAACTTGCGGTACTCCTCATAGACGTCAGAGGGGTCTGTTCTGTTGTTGTTCTGCTCCCCTCCGAAAAGTGTGAGGTACCCTGCCCTGAGGGAGAGAGAGTGGGAAGGTGAGTATGTGGCATGTTGAAAAAAACAAAAAAAATGCAGTACATAAGTGTGCTCTTCTATCGCACGCACAATTATGTCAGAGGGGAAAAAATTGTGTTCATTGTTTGCAGTAACTTCTTTGTTGTTGTAATATTGCAAACAGGCATGGAAGAATCATTAAGGATTTCAGCTTTAAGTGATCGTTAAGATCAGCATTCTATCGATGGACGAATACCTTACCCACAGTGGCATCCTCCCACTGAAGGTCAACAGGAACATTTCCTGTTTCACACCGGCCACCGCCCAGCCACCTGAACTGTTCAGTGTGGGGTATTACTAGTATAAACTTCCCATTTAGCATAAATCTTCCTCTTCTTCATCCCTGATGACTTCACAGCAGGGTTTTTTTAAACGTTTTGGGGCCGGGGACCACTTTCGGATAGTAAATTCATCAGGCACCCCCACATAATTAGAACACAGCTCGCGTGACATAAAAATAGCATACAAGGACTTCTACCAAGTCTCGGTCCCTGGGAAGGACATTTTTAAAGGCCCTCTTCTTGGCATTGGAGACAATTTAGCAGTTTTCAAGCTAATATTCTGCAGTTCTGCACATTATGCCGTTTTAAAGCTTAAATTACAGTGCATTTATGTTAAAAACATTTTTGGGTAAATACAAGAAATATCGACTTGAAAAATGTATAATTGGTGGAGTACTGTGGATACCAATATCCCTGTGACCCAGGCCCATGTTGCCCAGGGTTTAGATCATACTGTAAATTGTAGATTACTATATCCCTTGGCCAAAATAATTGTAATCTGGCCAAAATAATTGTAATCTGTTGTTGTTAGTAATATTAATAAAAAATAACATTATTAATGTTATATTTTGAGATCTGCCTGTGGACCCCATGCAGTACGCCCGCGGACCCAACTTTGAGAACCCTTGCTTCACAGTGTCTGACCTATTAAGTAATGATGTTGCCTAATGCTAAGAGAAGTCAGGACCAAATCATCTGGTCCCCATTTGGACGCTGAATGTTTAAATGACCAACTCAAACATCTCTGGCAACGCTATAAATAAAACCCCTTTTAAAGTGTGTAGGCAGCGGAGTTCTACAGGAAGGGCAGCCTGGAACAGGAGCTTCATGAGTGGCACTGCCCTTTCATTTCATTAGATGCCTCATGTGTGACTAAACATTCTTCCTGGTGTATTTACAAACAAGTGGCTTGTGGAATGGGCTGGTACGTAAACTGTTTATCCAAGGCGTTTGACGTAGGCCCTTGGGGACGCGTGGGTGAATGAGTGAAGAAGGGAGGGAGGTATAGGAACTCTTCCTTTCGTACCTGAAGAGAAAACTGTAACAGAAGCTGAACAGCCCGTCCGTGTTCCAGTCGGTCTGGTTGTGACAGGGCCTCTGGGCTTGCAGCAGCAGGGACTGGAGGTGGTGGTGCATGGTGCTGCTGAGGCAGGACAGGCTCTCGCCCTCAAAGTGCCTGAGGACACAAAGGTTTAAGGTCAAGAGAAAGGACTGTTCGTCATATATGATGTCATCAAGGCCAAACCTGTAATTCACTTTTACCTAATGGTGTCCTAGACTAGTGTTCTGTCCAGGGGTGTACTATGGGTCGTTCTGGCTCGGACAAGGCTTATTTACCTAAGTAATGGCACTGTGAAGACAGGTGTAGTATCACACCTCTATGGAAAAACACCATAAAACACAGGTGTTGCCTGTGGAAATACTGTACCTGATCAGTCTGAACTATAAAATGGAGGCTATGTCAGTGCAGTACACCTGTGTGGCAGGGTACAATGCTGCTCTGTAGATTGAAAATCCATTACATTTACATTTTAGTCATTTAGCAGACGCTCTTATCCAGAATGACTTACAGGAGCAATTAGGGTTAAGTGCCTTGCTTAAGGGCACATCGACAGATTTTTCACCTAGTCGGCTCGGGGATTAGAACCAGCGACCTTTCGGTTACTGGCACAACGCTCTTACCCACTAAGCTACCTGCCGCCCAGAGAGCTTGTCGTCTATGCTCTACAAAGCCAGAAGAAAAGCACTATAGCACTGTAACCTACACAATGGCCTAGATATTCTGAGATAGTTCCACAACAGTGCCAATCAACAGCATAGAGGGAGGTGAGTACATTTGCGTCGCACTCTGACACAGTATGCATTTATAAACCATAACATGAGGCTAATCAGGCCATAGTGATGGTAGTGATATCTGTGAATGTCGATGTGGTAATCCCTGGTCCCAGGCACCTCTCTGTCTCAGGGAGGTGCCTGAGTTAGACTACGGTGGAGCCAGGGAGCAACATCACACACAGAGTTGAATATTATACCTGTGTAAGGATCCAGTTATTGGCTGGACAATGCTGTCCTTAATCGTCTATATGTCAAAACTTAAATGTGTCATTCTCTGACCGTATCAATGGGCATGTACAGCTGTTTTTGGGCTGGCCCACAGAATGGAGTATGTGACACAGTGCTAAGGATAGGGACGTACTGTTTTATCATGGCCTTCTCTACAGCAGGGTTGTGATTGGGGAGCCGCAGGCTGAAGATTCTGTCCATGAGAACCTGTGCGTAGCGTGTGAAGTCCAGGGACACAGAGTCCTCTATCACAGCATCATAAGAGTTGGGGTCCAGCAGCACTGTCACATAGCGCCCAGCCACACGCACCTACACACACACACAGAATCAATAAGTGGGACACACCAACACTCATCCTGAATGGTGAAGAATTTAAATTTACTGTCGATGTAGTCAGGAATTTAGGAAAGAACAGGCAGGAATAGACGATCAGGTTCAGGCACATACATTTTACGTAGATGATATTGAGGAATGAGTTTCATATCACCACTCTTACCGTGAAGATATCACCATGCTTCACCTTCATACGGGTTAGAAACTTGGCAGCATCTCTTCCAAACTCAAGGGCATGGCCTAACCATGGAATAACTCCTTTGTCTAAAGGTGGCTCTTTCTCTGACCTGTATAGAAAGAAAAAACATGTAATTTTGAACTGCTAATATTCAAACCCATATTTGTTCATACCAACAGATTTTGTCTGTTGATATAGTAACTGTATCTGAAATCAATTGACTATTCAATATACACATGCCTGGCTCTTATCAGTACATTCTGTGACACAGCTGTGAGTAAAATAGATACAGCTTAGCCAAGAAGTTTTAAAGCCGGAACTCTCCCAATAACATTTATAATAGAATGAGCCCATCAGTTTATCCAAAGCAGTAAGCAAGGATGAAAACAGCAGTGCCTTCATGAACCCTTGACACACATTAGTTTACATTTAAGACTAGCCAGTGAAAATAGTCCTTTAGATTTCTCATGTAAGTGGTCCATCTATACCAGTGTATAACAACTCCAGTCTTCCAGTACTCCCAACAGTACACATTTTTTTGTAGCCCCAGACAAGCACACCTGATTCAACTTGTCAACTAATCATCAAACCATCAATGAGTTGAATCAGGTGAGTTTGTCAGGGCTCCAACACAAATGTGTGATGTTGGGGGTACTCGAGGAATTAAGTTGGTAAACACTGCTCTATACCATGGCTAGCTGTTTAACCACATTCCAAACACAGCTTGGGAGAGTAAATGGTTAATAGAACAGGCCACTAAACTAAGAGCGTAAGTGCATGCTTTGATGTGTCCCAAATGGTTTAGTGGTTTGTGGATGAGTTAAGCCAAGTGAAATATGATACAATATTACAAAGACATGATCAAACGTGTTAATTTATTATAGTAAATCTCTTGGTTTTTGGTTAATCTCAGAATTATCTCAACCTTCCCTCTCAAAAAGAATTGACAGCAGACAGCTCATTTAACTAATCTATTGTTCAATACAGCTATGCTATTATCAAGCTGTATCTGGACTACTTTAGGTTTATGGTAAATACAACTTCATGCTGGGTTAGTTTATGCTGGGTAGGCAATACACCTATTAGATAAGTAAACTAGTGGGCTAAGAAAATAACATTATGTGCACAGGTGGAAACAAGTTCGAAAAGTCCACAATATAATACAGAAAGCATGCATGTCGTATTTAATGTATGTAGTGCATGCATAGAAATTAGCCCAGTAGAACATTGATTTTAGAAAAGTGTACTCACCTGGAGCGTTTCGAAACAAGTATGAATAAGAGAAGTATGCCCTGGACAAGCAAAAGTATCGTCCAAATCATAGCGCAATTTCTAGAAAGATGTACCTGCACGTTGGTGCGCAGCAGTGAATACGTCTGAATAATTTAAGACTACAGGCTTCACCAGACATAGTGCTATTTATTTTGTCGTCATCCAATGAAGGCGTTCGAGGGTGTTCGCCGACGTCACGCTGCATGTTGCCTCATCCATCTACCTATCTGCACGAGTTCACGTAGGCCTACGACTAGATATAGCGGAAGATCGGTGTTAAAATGTCAAGGTAATTTCACGATTGCGCCGACATATGCAGCGTTTACCGTGAATGCAGTCTCTGCGACCGCGGGAACATTGCCTTTAATTGTCAACGGTGCTATAAAGCTGATACTCAGGGTTAGGAATTGAATAGAGCCTTAGATCTATTTCCAGATACATCCAAGCCTAAACAAAACAAACCCACCCATGTGTATGATTGTAATCAGATTAGCCTTGATAATATCCCAAATAATGATACTCCACCGGTGGTCAACAATAGCGCAGAGAATTAAAATTATGTATTTTTTACCTCTGACTCACTATGCAGTCCATACTTCAATTTGTTGTATTCTTAAACCCTTACCATGTACCTAAGTGTGTCCTGTTGTTGTTGCCTTTCTTTGTTTACTAAAATGTATACTTTTTTAATAAAACGTGAATCAAATACAACCACCGACTGTTTCCTCATTGATAATCAATTGGCACGATCCCATTCGTGCGGAGTTGCCGTTTTAGAGCAACAGCAATAAGGAAACAGTCAGTGGTTGTCCTTGATTGACGTTTTATTAAAAAGTATGGTTTCAGCAAACAAAGGCACGCAACAGAGGACAAACATAGGTACATGGTAAGGGTTTAAGAATTTACATTTTTTAAAGTATCAACTGCACAGGGACTGGAAGGAGTTGGAGGTTAATTACAAAAACTCCAGGCAGCACTCAACTCCGTGGAGGAGTTGAGGTACTTGGCTACATCATGGGTTGCTTACCTCAATTAATGACACTGTTTACTTACATGCTATTCAGGTCAACATTTTAAAACGGATATTTCAATAAAATAAGCTGAAATGTACCTAGTCTGTCATATGTAGACAAAGCATGCAGTCACTTTTATTTCAGTTGATGATGTGGTAATGTGTCAAACTCACAAATGTAAAAAGAGGTAGACTGATGTCACATCAAAGGTGTATCTGTTTCGCAACAGCAGCAGACGTAACTGATGTAAGGATGAGACACTGTTGTCACTGATTATGCAGCTGGGTGATGCATGAGTGAGTGTGTATAGTCTGTAAGTGTCATTAAAAAAAATCCATTACATCAACATTAACTGATCTAGGCATGTTTGGAAACAGGTTTTATTGACCATAAGAGTCATCTTACAGAACCTACCAACAAGTCGTCAATGGAATGGAGAGGTGTGGTAATTCAACTGATTCCCTCAACAACACAATGGGGGTGTAAATCAATAGCCTTGCTTACCTACTGTAGCTAAAAGAACCGTGGATGATTAATGAATTGCATTTATATAACTGGCACTCAGATGTACCACAACAACTTCTTATAACGCTGGGGTTTAACATGAAAAGGAAACTGGTTGTAATAAATAGGCCGCCAACTTTTTTTCACTTAACCCAAACGTCATCTGTCAATAACAATACAGAAAAAACGTAGGAAATGCTTCCCTATGAGACATACTCACTTTTGGACCTTGAACAAAAAAAAACTGGCAAAATAGGTTCATCAAATAAATAACGGCAAAAGGTAATTTTTTCTGCCATTTCTAAAGTCTATTTCTGTATAGGTGGGGCTTAACTTGGCATCTAACTGTAAGTCGCTCTGGATAAGAGCGTTTGCTAAATGACTTAAATGTAAATGTAAATGTAAACTTATCCTCCTTTTCCTTTGCTGCTTTTTCTTCTAGTGCTTCCTGGACGTCTTCTGGGGTTTGGCCAAAGATCCCTGCGGTCTGTTTGAGGAGGAACACTCCTGCGTGTAGGCCACCTACATTGACCCAGACAGTGTGATGCTTCCGCCAGAGTCCTTCAATCCTCGATATGGCCTGAGGGAGACAGATACACCCCGTCACAAAACACTCATTGCACAAACCATTCACGCTAAAACACCACAATATTGTTGGAGAAAAGCCATCTGGCCAAGGGCCCATGTACACCAGAAACAGAGTAGACTCAGTCCATACTATACTCTCACAACAGGTTTGTTCACAAAGACAATAGTGGTGTGGATTAATGAAATCAATATGATACAACTTCCTCAACTACTCATTTTCTGGAAATTTACCTGATGCCATCCGGTACAGACAGGTTAGGAGACACGTCTATCCACCCCACTCCACCACGAATTACACAGTCTTACGTAAGAGAGCATTTCTTATCCTGGGTCAGGATGACAGCCTTCCCTGAGCCTGGTCTGGACACCCAAGCCATTTCTCTTACGCAGGGCGGATACAGGTCCCAGTTGTATAAGAAAACCACACAAAGTACACGTCAGCCATGTAAACAATATGAATACATTCCATTAATAAATGACCCATATCTGGGAGGTTTAGTCAACGTTGAGTGTTGTTAATTGAAACAGTACAGTGGTATCTACCTCTTCCCAAAGGGCATGTCAGTGATAATGATGTCCACTGAGCTGGTTCTCATGGGCAGATGACACAGGTCCCACTGCACCGTGTCTATGGGCAGCCTGGGTGTACTGCAGGGTTGGGGAGTTTATACTGTGCATTCGGAAAGTATTAAGACCCCTTGATTTTTCCACATTTTGTTACGTTACAGCCTTATACTAAAATTGATCAAATTGTTTTTTTCCCCCTCGTCAACCTACACACAATACCCCATAATGACAAAGCAAAAACAGGTTTTTAGAAATGTTTGCAAATGTATTCAAAATAAAAAAAAGTAAATATCACATTTACATAAGTATTCAGACCCTTTACTCAATACTTTGTTGAAGCAACTTTGGCAGTGATTACAGCCTTGAGTCTTCTTGGGTATGACACTACAAGCTTGGCACACCTGTATTTGGGCAGTTTCTCTCATTCTTCTCTGCAGATCCTCTCAAGCACTGTCAGGTTGGATGGGGAGCGTCGCTGTACAGCTATTTTCAGGTCTCTCCAGAGATGCTCGATTGGGTTCAAGTCCGGGCTCTGGCTGGGCCACTCAAGGACATTCAGAGACTTGTTCCAAAGCCACTTCTGCGTTGTCTTGGTTGTGTGCTTAGGGTTGTTGTCCTGTTGGAAGGTGAACCTTCATCCCAGTCTGAGGTCCTGAGCGCTGTGGAGCAGGTTTTAATCAAGGATCTCTCTGTACTGTGCTCCGTTCATCTTTCCCTCGATCCTGACTAGTCTCCCAGTCCCTGCTGCTGAAAAACATCCCCACAGCATGATGCTGCCACCACCATGCTTCACCGTAGGGATGGTGCCAGGTTTCCTCCAGACGTGACGCTTGGCATTCAGGCCAAAGAGTTCAATCTTTGTTTCATCAGACCAGAGAATCTTGTTTCTCATGGTCTGAGAGTCCTTTAGGTGCCTTTTGGCAAACTCCAAGCGGGCTGTCATGTGCCTTTTACTGAGGAGTGGCTTCCGTCTGGCCACTCTACCATTAAGGCCTGATTGGTGGAGTGCTGCAGAGATGGTTGTCCTTCTGAAAGGTTCTCCCATCTCCACAGAGGAACTCTGGAGCTTTGTAAGGTTTGGCCAGGCGGCCAGCTCTAGGTAGAGTCTTGGTGGTTCCAAACTTCTTCCATTTAAGAATGATGGAGGTCACTGTGTTGTTGGGGACCTTCAATGCTGCAGAAATGTTTTGGTACCCTTCCCCAGATCTGTGCCTCGATACAATCCTGTCTCTGAGCTCTACGGACAATTCCTTTGACCTCATGGCTTGGTTTTTGCTCTGACATGCACTGTCAACTGTGGGACCTTATATAGACAGATGTGTGCCTTTCCAAATCATGTCCAGTCAATTTAATTTACCACAGATGGACTCCAATCAAGTTGTAGAAACATCTTAAGGTTGATCAATGGAAACAGGATGCACCTGAGCTCAATTTCGAGTCTCATAGCAAAGGTCTGCATACTTATGTAAATGTTATATTTCCGTAAATAAATTAGCAAACGTCTAAAAACCATTTTGCTTTGTCATTATGGGGTATTGTGTGTAGATAGATGGGGAAAAACGATTAAATCAATTTTAGAATTAAGGCTTTAACGTAACAAAATGTGGAAAAAGTAAAGTGGTCTGAATACTTTCCGAATGCACTGTAGATTTAACACAACTAACGATCAAAGGGATCTCATCACTTTGTCTTGCATGATCCAACATCAAAGCCATCATTTTCTATGTTGTGAGGGGTGACTATTCACATGAAGTCACTTATGTATGGTTTGATTTGCTGTCTCACCTGCCCTTGTCTCTTCTTCTGGATGTGACAGATGTTGTTGACTGTGCGGCTCACTGCCATGTCATGGTTGTCTCCGGCCAGGTAGAAACGCGTGCTGCCATTCAATGGCTCCCTGGTAGAGACATTCAATTACTCAGTAGGCTATACTATCTGATTACTACTTCATGGAAGGCAAAGTCAGTTACCGTAGTCAAATTTGATTTTTTTCAAAACATTATGTGATTCTCCGTCTTACCTCCAAAGGTATAGCTCCAGTTCCACACATGGGATCAAGTATAACATCAGGTGCCTGAGGCTTACGGAGTCTGTACAATGAGAGAGACTCACAAATATCACATTTGTCTTTATGCCAAATATGATTTTCACATATATGAATCAATTAGAGGAAACATACTTTACATGAAGCACTACTGTATATATTGTGTGTATATCAAAACAGGTTGCATCAAGAAATCACATAATGGGGTCCCTTTATCCCAATCTGTATTGCACCCATGCATTATCACAGTGCCAGCATGAGGTAGAGAGAACTTTGTGTGTTTAGCTTGACTGTAATGATTGTGAATGGAGGGAGAGTAGGAGACCTGAGCATGCCATAGCACAGGGTGGAGCGCAGCGTGGTGGGTCCAAAGTGGGTGATGTTTCTTCTGTGGAGACTCCTCTGCCAGGGCAATGCCAATCACTACCTCAACATTATTGATGTTCAGCAGGACCTGGTAACACACACACAGAAAATATAATGGAAACACACTCATCACCCATTTCAATGACCAGAAACTTGAGTCATTTGATTTTACATCACATTACGTGTAATAAAAAGCATGAGCTGGTGCACACCCAGAGAAAATTATTTAGTGTAGAGGTGCTGACTAACGGTGAATAAACTGTAAGAGGTGTCAGAGGAAGGCCCTCAAAATTGTCAAAGACTCCAGCCACCCTAGTCATAGACTGTTCTCTCTGCTACCGCACGGCAAGCGGTACCGGAGTGCCAAGTCTAGGTCCAAAAGACTTCTCAACAGCTTCTACCCCCAAGCCATAAGACTCCTGAACAGCTAATCATGGCTACCCGGACTATTTGCACTGCCCCCCCACCCCATCCTTTTTACGCTGCTGCTACTCTGTTAAGTAAGTACTTATGCATAGTCACTTTAACTCTACCCACATGTACATATTACCTCAACTACCTCAACTAGCCGGTGCCCCCGCACATTGACTCTGCAACGGTACCCCCCTGTATATATAGCCTCCCTACTGTCACTTTATTTTACTGTATATATAGCCTCCCTACTGTCACTTTATTTTACTTCTGCTCTTTTTTTCTCAACACTTTTTTTGTTGTTGTTTTATTCTTACTTTTTTTGTTTAAAATAAATGCACTGTTGGTTAAGGGCTGTAAGTAAGCATTTCACTGTAATGTCTGCACCTGTTGTATTCGGCGCATGTGACCAATAAAATTTGATTTGATTTGAAGATATAAAAACAAAGAGAGTCGCACACTCCATATGTATAACCTCCCAGTAATTTATTGGGTAAATAAACACCAGTCTCGGCATCACTGTGCCGAAACGTTGGGTGTTTTTTTACCCAATAAATTACGTGACCATACCTATTTATTTAGATGGAAAATATTTATACTCAGAACTGTTATTCCTTCCCTCTTTGTTTTCTTTTTAACGTAATCAATTCAAGAGTTATGTGTCTCACAGGCTTATCTTGACAAGCATGTGAGCAAGAGGGTTTCTTTTGGCTAGGGCAGAGGAATTCAGTGGGTGCCAGTCCCGTTGGAACAGGCTGCAATGTTATGTTATGTTTACCCTCGATATCAAACTTGATCATGTCCGCTTTCCACTGGAAGAAGTCTTGCACGGCGCCACCAAAGTCCCTGGTGGTCTCGTTTGGGGAGAAGCTGTGTTTGTCTCCTGCTCTGCTGCACGTCACACATAACTTCAGAACCTTCGCCCTGGGCTCCTGCCCCTCTGGCTCCTGCCCCTCCACCGTCTGCTGCGCATTCTGGGGGCTGTTCTCCAGGTCAGGTGACCCGGCCTCCCCTCGCCCCCACGCCCTGGCCTGCAGTAGGTGCCTCAAGCTCCAGCTTCTCTGTCTCCGTGGTGACAGTCTCCACGGCGTCCCTCTCCACAACGGCTTTGTTGGCTTTGCCTCGGTCTCTATCTCTCCCTACTCTCCCATTGGGACCGTCTATGGGGTCCCCTCTTCTTCTTCAGAGAGGTGTTCAGTTTCCAGACCTTCAATGCATTGGTCCATGGCAGCTTGGAGGCCAGCTTCTGCAAGTCCTCCAATGTCTCATCCTGTTGGACAGAACTGGTAATGTTTCTATCAAATACCCTGAGAGGGAGAGGCACGTTATAAAGTGTAGGGGACTGGTCTTTCATTACCAACGTGAATGTTATAGTTTAAATGAAAGTGTAAGAGCTGTATGAATTCAGGTTCCTTATTGGCTGTGCTGTAATAAAAAGAGACATACCTTTGAGTCTTTAAACTGATAGTTGTCATACTCTTCAACCACAACAAACAAGTTGTCCACAGACCTCAGAGTATGCACCTAGAAAGAGGAGGCACTGGTAAAAAAGCTAGGCTATATTTTGAATTTATTCAATGGTATGGTCACAGACAAGGTAAACAAACCATTGTAAATGTGTGCAAAGTTAATCAAAAGTTTGATGACCACACTAAAGATTGAGGTTTTATAAAGAATTTAAAATCAGTTTCAATAGCATCCTTATTTAATCATAATCACAATGCTCTTGTGATAGTCATAATAAAGTAGCCAATAAAACATCATATGGTTTTGCAATACTTGTAAATCAAGATGAAAGGATATTGGACTAATTCTGGAGTTACAGTAATAGTAAATGTAGGCTGGGTTGTTCCACTTAATAAAAAACAGAATTCCATTTCATGAGGTTAAATTAAGAAAAATGACTAAAATAACTATAGCCATACAGTGCCTTTAGAAAGTATTCACACCGCTTGACTTTTTCCTCATTTTGTTGTGTTACAAAGTGGGATTAAAATTGATTTAATTGTAATTTTTTTGTCAACTGTCTACACAAAATACTCTGTAATGTAAAAGTGGAAGAAAAATTATAACATTTGTGAAACATTTTTGAAAAACAAAACACTAATATATCTTGATTAGATAAGTATTCAACTTCCTGAGCCAATACATGTTAGAATCACCTTTGTCAGCTATTACAGCTGTGAGTCTTTCTGGGTAAGTCTCTAAGAGCTTTGCTCACCTGGATTGTACAATATTTGCACATTATTCTTTTAAAAATTCTTCAAGCTCTGTCAAGTTTGTTGTTGATCATTACTAGACAGCCATTTACAAGTCTTGCCATAGATTTTCAAGCCGATTTAAGTCAAAACTGTAACTAGGCCACTGTAACTAGGCCACAACTCCAGTGTAGATTTAGCTTGTGTTTTAGGTTATTGTCCTGCTGAAAGGTGAATTTGTCTCACAATGTCTGTTGGAAAGCAGACTGAACCATCTATGATTTTGCCTGTGCTTAGCTCTATTCCATTTATTTTTATCCCCAAAACATTCCGTAGTCCTTCCCAATGACAAGCATACTCATAACATGATGCAGCCACCACCATGCTTGAAAATATGAAGAGTGTTACTCAGTGATGTGTTGTGTTTGCCCCAAACATACCGCTTTGTATTCAGGACATAAACTTAATTTCTTTGCCACATTTTTAGAAGTTTTACTTTAGTGCCTTATTGCAAACAGGATGCATGTTTTGGAATATTTTTATTCTGTACAGTATTCCTTCTCACTTTGTCAATTAGGTTAGTATTGTGGAGTAACTACAATGTTGTTGATCCATCCTCAGTTTTCTCCTATCACAGCCATTAAACTCTGTAACTGTTTTAAAGTCACCATTGGCCTCATGGTGAAATCCCTGAGTGGTATCCTTCCTCTCCGGCAACTAAGTTAGGAAGGACGCCTGTATCTTTGTAGTGACTGGGTGTATTGACACACCATCCAAAGTGTAATTAATAACTTCACCATGCTCAGAGGGATATTTAATGTCTGCTTTTTTATATACACTATTATTGCACACTTATTATGTGACTTGTTAAGCCATTTTCTACTCCTGAACGTATTTAGGCTTGCCATAACAAAGGGGTTGAATACTTATTGACTAAAGATATTTCAGCTTTTCATTTTTCATTCATTTGTAAAAATTCCTAAAAACATAATTACACTTTGACATTATGGGGTATTGTGTGTAGGCCAGTAACACAACATTTCGATTTAATCTATTTTAAATTCAGGCTGTAACACAACGAAATGTGGAAAAAGTCAATGGGTGTGAATACTTTCTGAAGACACTAAGTCCCCTTGTGACAGGGGGAATGGACGCTTGTTATGTGCAACAGAGAGGGGCAATTTAATGCAAGCTTCACAATTGTTTTTGAAATTGTTAAAACATTTCGAGGTTACCTGTCTATGAGTAATAGGGTTGACGTGTTATGCTCGACCCCCTCAGTTTTCTAACCACAAAACACCCACAATTGGCCAAAAAGAGTAGAAACAGCTCACCTGCTTTTACACTATGATTTGACTTTTAGATGTTCAATGTTTATTTTGAAAAAAATATTTAAAAAACATTAAAACAAGAGTTCAGTTCAGGTAACAGTGTTGACCTTAAAATGAGGGAGAACGTACATGAATTACTAATCACGTGAAATAAATAAGAATCTTCAGAAATGACTTTGTCTAAGCAACAAAGTAGCTTGGGCTGAATGCACTCATGACTCTATTCTATGCACACCAAAATTACTATGGTTATGTGTTTCTCTAAAGTGTCTTGTGAAAGCGTAACACTAAGATTGTATTTGATAATTTAGCTAGTCATGCTGGCAGTATAATTTTTTTTCAAATGATGCCAACCCGATGGATTTCTAATGGACTGTTTTCAGATTGCGTATATAACAACAGTAATTGTGTGATGGTGGGGATGCAGGGCTGTGTTCCAAACAAACACAAAACTACAAGTGTGCTTGCTTCAGTTCCTCAAAGGCACAGCTAGGGGAGTTAAAGGAAAGCTTCACCCATTTTGAATGTTATACTGTTTTTCTTCATCTCTGAGTGATGTTCTTTCAATTCCCTGGGTAATTTCATGTTTTCACATGTATCTGAGTTATTGGCATTCCTATATCCATCCTGCCCTGCCTTTCGAAAGTATTTGAAAGCCAAGTTAACAAACAGATCACAGACCATTTCGAATCCCACCGTACCTTCTCCGCTATGCAATCTTGTTTTCGAGCTGGTCATGGGTGCACCTCAGCCACGCTCAAGGTCCTAAACGATATTATAACCGTGATCGATAAAAGACAGTACCGTGCAGCCGTCTTCATCGACCTGGCCAAGGCTTTCGACTCTGTCTATCACCGCATTCTTATTGGCAGACTAAATAGCCTTGGTTTCTCAAATGACTGCCTCGCCTGGTTCACCAACTACTTCTCAGATAGAGTTAAATGTGTCAAATCAGAGGGCCTGTTGTCTGGACCTATGGCAGTCTCTATGGGGGTGCCACAGGGTTCAATTCTCGGGCCGACTCTATTATCTGTGTATATCAATGATGTCGCTCTTGCTGCTGGTGACTCTCAGATCCACCTCTACGCAGACGACACCATTTTGTATACATCTGGCCCTTCATTGGACACTGAGTTAACAAACCTCCAAACAAGCTTCAATGCCATACAACATTCCTTCCGTAGCCTCCAACTGCTCTTAAACGTTAGTAAAACTAAATGCATGCTCTTCAATCGAACGCTGCTTGCACCCACCCGCCCGACTAGAATCACTACTCTCGGCGGGTCTGACTTAGAATATGTGGACAACTACAAATACCTAGGTGTCTGGTTAGACCGTAAACTCTCCTTCCAGACTCACATTAAGCCTCTCCAATCCAAAGTTAAATCTAGAATCGGCTTCCTATTTCGCAACAAAGCCTCCTTCACTCATGCTGCCAAACATGCCCTCGTAAAACTGACTATCCTACCGATCCTTGACTTTGGCGATGTCATTTACAAAATAGCCTCCAACACTCTACTCAGCAAATTGGATGTAGTCTATCACAGTGCCATCAGTTTCGTCACCAAAGCCCCATATACTACCCACCATTGTGACCTGTACGCTCTCGTTGGCTGGCCCTCAATACATATTTGTCGCCAAACCCACTGGCTCCAGGTCATCTATAAATCACTTCTAGGCAAATCCCCGCCTTATCTTAGCTCATTGGTCACCATAGCAACACCCACCCGTAGTATACGCTCCAGCAGGTATATCTCACTGGTCATCCCCAAAGCCAACACCTCCTTTGGCCGCCATTCCTTCCAGTTCTCTGCTGCCAATGACTGGAACGAACTGCAAAAATCTCTGTAGCTGGAGACTCTTATCTCCCTCACTAACTTTAAGCATCAGTTGTCAGAGCAGCTTACCGATCACTGCACCTGTACACACCCCATCTGTAATTAGTCCACCCAACTACCTCATCCCCATATTTATTTATTTTCCTCATTTGCACCCCAGTATCTCTATTTGCACATCATCTTCTGCACATCTATTACTCCAGTGTTAATGCTAAATTGTAATTATTTTGCACTATGGCCTATTTATTGCCTTACCTCCATAACTTACTACATTTGCACACACTGTATATAGATTGTCTATTGTGTTATTGACTGTACGTTTTGTTTATCCCATATGTAACTCTGTGTTGTTGTTGTTTTTATCGCACTGCTTTGCTTTATCTTGGCCAGGTCGCAGTTGTAAATGAGAACTTGTTCTCAACTGGCTTACCTGGTTAAATAAAGGTTAAATAGATAAAAAAGCAGGCGGAAATCTCTCCGGTATGACGTAGCACTGCGATAAAGTCGCTCTCACTACACTGGAAGTTAATAGGAATAGGACTTTTAGATCGCGAAAACGTATATCATGTCAGATTTCAACACTGGCAGATGTCATAACTGGGGACGATGTATTCTCTCGAATGATCCATTGATCATATTTTTGCGACATTCCTACCTTGAGAAATGTGTAATTTTAATGGAGGGTCTAGCACATTTTTCCTACAGGTCTGCCTCTTTAGTCCAGGGTGCATTGCGTGATGCATTGCCAGAGATATTATAGAAAGGAGATAGGAATCCAATGAAAGAAGGAAGTATAACGCCCCACCCAGCAGACTATCGACCAATCGTGTTCACGTTGCTAATAGTCACGCAATCCCTTCTCAAAGTCAGTGTATATGTTGAGAAACATGCCTATTTTCCTCGGAAGTCCGTAATATCACGATTCCAAAGCTATACATTATTACAGATAGCAAGTTAATTATCTCACATCTCGGAAAAGATTTGTAATGTTGTACTTCTTGTTGATTACATTTGTGCTAATGTTGGGTTTTTGAACTCCCTTGAAAGAGAGCTCTCCTTGTCTCAGAATCGCCCAGAATGCACCGTACGGCCCATTGACGTAACATGGGAAACGTTTCCCATCTCCTCAGAAGTATATCTGCCGCTGCGAATGTCAGACTCCACTCTGAGAACGGGTAGCTGATGGAGACAGAAAATGGCGGAAGCGGATGATGAAGTGGAATCTGAATACAATGGCGGTAGAATCAAGGAGAATTTGAGTATTGTTCAAAAGAATGGAAAACGGAGCAAAGTAGGGTACAGTGATGAGAATGACCCTTTAAGTATGTCTTGTTAATAAGGAGCAGCTGAGCAGAGTACCAATCTTGAAGAAACCATTTGAGTTATCCAAACTGGTGGAGAGAGTGTTGGGTAAAGTGAAGGATGTGAGGATCACGAGTGGCGGGCTTGTTTTGATTTTTTGTCATTCTGCGGATCAGAAGGAACGTGCGTTGTGTCTTAATCGATTTGGTAAGTTTGAAGTGTTGTGTGTGTCGCTTCGGAACAGGCACCCCTTAAGGGGGTTATATCTGGCGTTTCGTGGTTAGTTGATTTGGAAGAGATGAAACATATTCCTGGAGTGATTGAAGCACTTCGGATGAATCGAGTGGTGAATGGGGAAAAAGTGAAGAGTTTATGTTATTTTGTTTTTTGAAATGGAGTCCATCCCTAATGAAGTGCGGTTAGGGTATATTAACTACAGAGTTAGAACATTTATCCCAATAACAATGCAGTGTGAACGTTGTAAAGCTTTTGGTCATGTAGAAAGTGTTTGCCGAAGGGAGAAGCCGAGATGTACAAGATGTGGAAAATATCATATGTGTTATAAAAGTGAAGACAATGTGACATGTTGTAATTGCTGTGGGAATCATGAAGCCACGTCTTCTGAATGCCCCACAAGGGTAAAAGAGAATGAGGTGGCAAAGTCAGGGTTGCACAGAGCATTTCATATGCAGAAGTGTGAAAAGGGCACTGCCAAGGTGGAGAAAAGATCGAGGAAGATTGAAATCATTGTGATTGCGGCAGAGCGGTTCCTGGGGCTGAAATATTTCACAGCAAGGGACTTACATGGAATATTAGCAAGAGTCGTTCTACCTTCTCAGGTCCTATAGCCTCAGAAGGGAGGTATGGAGAACTAAAAGGAGGAAGAAGTGGGAGTTTAGTTTGTTTTGGCAATGTACTATTTTTAATTAGGGTGGATTGTTAGAATCACTATTCATTATGGATTTATTTTTATTTTGGTTTCAAAACGTCGAGTTGGTGGCGGCAATACAACTTTTGGATGTAGTCCGCCATAAAACCCACAGAAGAAGAAGAAGAAGACATATTAAAGACTCCACTGTGAGGCACATTGATCTGCAGGTTGAACATGGTGAGATTGTAGACTCCTAAATTGATAGTGCAGTCTGTTTAGGCGATTTTACAGCCAACTAGCTACTTTTCATGCGGATATTGTCTTTGGTATTATTGTGTGCAGCTACATTTGCTAGCTAGCTTGCCAGCCAGCCCATAGAGAGAGCATTGCATTGTGGATTTTGTAGTCGACTTCAGCTGCAACAGATTTCCACAACGATTTTCCATGTTGCTACCAACCTTATTATAATGCCAAAATGAAACATTTGTTCACCAAAAATGCTGTTCTCACATATTATTGTTAATTAAAGGAATGTTTTTTCTCCTTAAAAAAAAACGTTATAGTTTAAGGCTCTTTCTTGAATCATAAAAGTTCATTGGAAATACTTAGGAACTGTGCACACTTTGGAGAGGTGTGTGTGGCCACTTGGAGACACCAGTTAGGCCTCTCATTAAAACCCCTGTCATTGTTTTGTCTTATATTGCACCTACCCCAAATTTTCATGCAACATTATTTTGTTGATATACAATTTGATCTCTGAGAAATTAAGATAATTGATTGCACCCAAATTCCCCCCCCCCCCATGCTTTGGTTTTCTTTACCTGACCACTGTTTCAAATGCAAACTTTTTTTGTGGCACAAATGAGAACTGATACTAGGGATGGGCATTTGCCAATATTTTGACTGTTGGAATAAAAATGTTTAACACAAGGCTCGCACTGGAAATAAATATGTGCGCATTTATCTATAGGCCTATGCCAACAGTGCACGACAATGCCTAATTTATCATAGCAATTAGGATTTGTTATGTGTAATGGTTAAATTGCCCCATTATATACTGAGTATACAAAACATTAAGAACACCCGCGTTTTCCTTGACATAGACTGACCAGGTGAAAGCTATGATCCCTTATTGATGTCACTTGTTGAATCCACTTCAATCAGTGTAGATGAAAGGGAGGAGAAAGATTAAAGAAGGCTTTTAAACCTTGAGACAATTGAGACATGGATTGTGTGTGTGTGCAATTCAGAGGGTGAATGGGCAAGACAAAATATTTAAGTGCCTTTGAACGGGGTATGGTAGTAGGTGCCAGGCGCACAGGTTTGTGTCAAGAACTGCAACACTGCTGGGTTTTTAACGCTCAAAAGTTTCCCGTGTTGTCCACCACCTAAAGGTCATCCAGCCAACTTGACACAACTGTGGGAAGCATTTAGGGTCAACATGGGCCAACATCCCTGTGGAACGCTTTCGACACCTTGTAGAGTCCGCGCCCGACGAATTTAGGTGCAACTCAATATTGGAAGATGTTCTTAATGTTTTGTACACTGAGTGTATATCTGGGGAATGGTGTTGAAAGTTTCCAAGAGCACAGTGGTCTCCAATATTGGGAAATTGAAAAAATATGGAACTACCCAGACTCTGCCTAGAGCTGGCCGTCCGACCAAACTAAGCAACAGGGCAACAAGGACCTTGGCTGAGATGGGAGAACTTGCCAGAAGGACAAAAGTCTCTACAGCAATTCACCCTTTTACCTCCCAAGGGAGATTTCAGCTGTTATCGTGACTGTTGGATACATTCCACCTCAGGACAAGAAATATAACAAGCTGGCACTTAACGAACTGTACGAGGCTATAACCAAGCAGAAAAACTTACATCCAGAGACCACTTTTCTTCTTGCCGGCGATTTTATTTCTGCGTCATAAAGACATGTGATGCCCAACTTCCATCAACACATCTCCCTCACCACTAGGGGCGATAAAGTCCTAGACCACTGTTATTCTATCCACAAGCAAGCATACAAGGCCCTCCCTCGTCCGCCATTCGGCAAATCAAATCATGACTCCGTACTCCTACTTTCTGTTTACAAGCAGAAGCTCAAAACAGGAATTACCCTGACTCACTCCGTTTAGAAATGGTCTCCAGAATCAGAGATTATGCTACAGGATGGCTTTGCTAGCGCTGATTGGAATATGTTTCGGGACTCCGCCGATAACGTAGACGAGCTAACCTCCTCCATCACCGGCCTCATTAGGAAATGCATCGGCGACAGTTACGTTTCGATGCTTTCCCAATCAAAAGCCTTGGATTAACACTGAGGTTGGCGCTAAACTAAAGGATAGGGCTACCGCGCACAGGTCTGTCGCAGACAACCCTGAGGCTATGGCTGAGGACAGAAAAAAGTACAAGAAGTCCTGCTATGACCTCCCTAGAGTCATCAAACAAGAAAAAGGGCAATATAGGAATAAAGAGGAATCATATTACACTGGCTCTGACGCCTGCCGCATGTGGCAGGGGCTACAGTCCATTACGGATTACAAAGGAAGACCCAGCCGTGATCTGCCCAACGATGCCTCTTTACCAGACAAACTCAAAATGCACGCTTTGACAATAACAACATTGTGCCGGGTGTGAGGGCCGCCACCGACCCAGAAGTTGGGTGATCTCGCTCTCCGAGGCAGACGTGAGTAAAGTCTTTAATCAGGTCAATACCCGCAAGGGCGCGGGGCCCGATGGTATTCCAGGGCGCGTTCTCAGAGCATGCGCAGAACAGCTGGCAGGTACAGTGGGAAAAAAAAGTATTTAGTCAGCCACCAATTGTGCAAGTTCTCCCACTTAAAAAGATGAGAGAGGCCTGTAATTTTCATCATAGGTACACGTCAACTATGACAGACAAATTGAGAATCAGAATCCAGAAAATAACATTGTAGGATTTTTAATGAATTTATTTGCAAATTATGGTGGAAAATAGGTATTTGGTCACCTACAAACAAGCAAGATTTCTGGCTCTCACAGACCTGTAACTTCTTCTTTAAGAGGCTCCTCTGTCCTCCACTCGTTACCTGTATTAATGGCACCTGTTTGAACTTGTTATCAGTATAAAAGACACCTGTCCACAACCTCAAACAGTCACACTCCAAACTCCACTATGGCCAAGACCAAAGAGCTGTCAAAGGACACCAGAAACAAAATTGTAGACCTGCACCATGCTGGGAAGACTGAATCTGCAATAGGTAAGCAGCTTGGTTTGAAGAAATCAACTGTGGGAGCAATTATTAGGAAATGGAAGACATACAAGACCACTGATAATCTCCCTCGATCTGGGGCTCCACGCAAGATCTCACCCCGTGGGGTCAAAATGATCACGGTGAGCAAAAATCCCAGAACCACACGGGGGGACCTAGTGAATGACCTGCAGAGAGCTGGGACCAAAGTAACAAAGCCTACCATCAGTAACACACTACGCCGCCAGGGACTCAAATCCTGCAGTGCCAGACGTGTCCCCCTGCTTAAGCCAGTACATGTCCAGGCCCGTCTGAAGTTTGCTAGAGTGCATTTGGATGATCCAGAAGAGGATTGGGAGAATGTCACATGGTCAGATGAAACCAAAATATAACTTTTTGGTAAAAACTCAACTCGTCGTGTTTGGAGGACAAAGAATGCTGAGTTGCATCCAAAGAACACCATACCTACTGTGAAGCATGGGGGTGGAAACATCATGCTTTGGGGCTGTTTTTCTGCAAAGGGACCAGGACGACTGATCCGTGTAAAGGAAAGAATGAATGGGGCCATGTATCGTGAGATTTTGAGTGAAAACCTCCTTCCATCAGCAAGGGCATTGAAGATGAAACGTGGCTGGGTCTTTCAGCATGACAATGATCCCAAACACACCGCCCGGGCAACGAAGGAGTGGCTTCGTAAGAAGCATTTCAAGGTCCTGGAGTGGCCTAGCCAGTCTCCAGATCTCAACCCCATAGAAAATCTTTGGAGGGAGTTGAAAGTCTGTGTTGCCCAGCGACAGCCCCAAAACATCACTTCTCTAGAGGAGATCTGCATGGAGGAATGGGCAAATACCAGCAACAGTGTGTGAAAACCTTGTGAAGACTTACAGAAAACGTTTGACCTGTGTCATTGCCAACAAATGGTATACAGTGGGGAGAACAAGTATTTGATACACTGCCGATTTTGCAGGTTTTCCTACTTACAAAGCATGTAGAGGTCTGTAATTTTTATCATAGGTACACTTCAACTGTGAGAGACGGAATCTAAAACAAAAATCCAGAAAATCACATTGTATGATTTTTAAGTAATTAATTTGCATTTTATTGCATGACATAAGTATTTGATACATCAGAAAAGCAGAACTTAATATTTGATACAGAAACCTTTGTTTCCAATTACAGAGATCATATGTTTCCTGTAGGTCTTGACCAGGTTTGCACACACTGCAGCAGAGATTTTGGCCCACTCCTCCATACAGACCTTCTCCAGATCCTTCAGGTTTCGGGGCTGTCGCTGGGCAATACGGACTTTCAGCTCCCTCCAAAGATTTTCTATTGGGTTCAGGTCTGGAGACTGGCTAGGCCACTCCAGGACCTTGAGATGCTTCTTACAGAGCCACTCCTTAGTTGCCCTGGCTGTGTGTTTCGGGTCGTTGTCATGCTGGAAGACCCAGCCACGACCCATCTTCAATGCTCTTACTGAGGGAAGGAGGTTGTTGGCCAAGATCTCGTGATAGATGGCCCCATCCATCCTCCCCTCAATACAGTGCAGTCGTCCTGTCCCCTTTGCAGAAAAGCATCCCCAAAGAATGATGTTTCCACCTCCATGCTTCACAGTTGGGATGGTGTTCTTGGGGTTGTACTCATCCTTCTTCTTCCTCCAAACACGGCGAGTGGAGTTTAGACCAAAAAGCTATATTTTTCTCATCAGACCACATGACCTTCTCCCATTCCTCCTCTGGATCATCCAGATGATCATTGGCAAACTTCAGACGGGACTGGACATGCGCTGGCTTGAGCAGGGGGACCTTGCGTGCGCTGCAGGATTTTAATCCATGACGGCGCAGTGTGTTACTAATGGTTTTCTTTGAGACTGTGGTCCCAGCTCTCTTCAGGTCATTGACCAGGTCCTGCCGTGTAGTTCTGGGCTGATCCCTCACCTTCCTCATGATCATTGATGCCCCACGAGGTGAGATCTTGCATGGAGCCCCAGACCGAGGGTAATTGACCGTCATCTTGAGCTTCTTCCATTTTCTAATAATTGCGCCAACAGTTGTTGCCTTCTCACCAAGCTGCTTGCCTATTGTCCTGTAGCCCATCCCAGCCTTGTGCAGGTCTACAATTTTATCCCTGATGTCCTTACACAGCTCTCTGGTCTTGGCCATTGTGGAGAGGTTGGAGTCTGTTTGATTGAGTGTGTGGACAGGTGTCTTTTATACAGGTAACGAGTTCAAACAGGTGCAGTTAATACAGGTAATGAGTGGAGAACAGGAGGGCTTCTTAAAGAAAAACTAACAGGTCTGTGAGAGCTGGAATTCTCACTGGTTGGTAGGTGATCAAATACTTATGTCATGCAATAAAATGCAAATTAATTACTTAAAAATCATACAATGTGATTTTCTGGATTCTTGTTTTAGATTCAGTCTCTCACAGTTGAAGTGTACCTATGATAAAAATTACAGACCTCTACATGCTTTGTAAGTAGGAAAACCTGCAAAATCGGCAGTGTATCAAATACTTGTTCTCCCCACTGTATAACAAAGTATTGAGAAACTTTTGTTATTGACCAAATACTTATTTTCCAAATTCATAAAAAATCCTACAATGTGATTTTCTGGATTTTCTTTCTCAATTTGTCTGTCATAGTTGACGTGTACCTATGATGAAAATTACAGGCCTCTCTCATCTTTTTAAGTGGGAGAACTTGCACAATTGGTGGCTGACTAAATACTTTTTTCCCCCACTGTATTTCACTCCAAGCATCAACCACTGTTTGAGGAACATGCAGCCTCTCGCTACGCGACAGGTGATATTCCGCCCAAACTCTGTATGACACGTGCTCTCCAACCCTGTTCCTGCAGCTACCCAGTGCTTAATTTGGGAAACCAAGTGAAATCTGTTCGGGAACATCGATAATAACATGTTTTCACAACTAAACATATTTAATTAAACTGTTGATAGCCCCTCTCTCTGCACGCTTGAGCAAGAAATGAAGGTGAGAGAGGAGGAGATGTAAATGCACGGTGTTGAGATATTATGTAGCTAAAGGTAATGTGTCAGCCTATTAATTATGAAAATATAAAAAATACCCTTTTTTACTAGGCTATTCAAAATCAAATACAAATTCACTATAATTGTAGGCTAACTCTGTAAGCCGCCCTGCACAATCAATGAACAAACAGCATCGCCTAGGCCTATACATTCTCTCCCAGACTCATAGATAGAATGTTTGGAGTGTAGCAAAAGATAACCAGTCCATCCAGTAAGCATAATAATTCAATCCACACTCAAAGTCGACTACTAGAATTTGTTCAATTTTGGAGTATAGGCTAGACCAATTATGCACCAAAGACATCTTAAATCAGCTTTTTAAAAATGTTTTTCTGCCTTGTGTAAAATGCGGTAGGCTATGTATTGTATAACGGCACAATCATTATAAAAATAAAAAAATACATTCGGGCTTGGGCTCATATATACATTTACATTTGAGTAATTTAGCAGACGCTCTTATCCAGAGTTTTTTTTCTCATTTTGTCTGTCATAGTTGACGTGTACCTATGATGAAAATTACAGGCCTCTCTCATCTTTTTAAGTGGGAGAACTTGCACAATTGGTGGCTGACTAAATACTTTTTTTCCCCACTGTATATTCACAGTAATTTTCAACCTATCCTTGTCCCAGTCTGTAATCCCCACATGTTTTAAGATGACCACAATCATTCCTGTTCCCAAGAACTCTAAGGCTTCATGCTATAATGACTACCGCCCTGTAGCACTCACATCTGTAATCCTGAAGTGCTTTGAAAGGCTGGTTATGGCACACATCAACTCCATCATCCCAGACACCGTCGACCCACTCCCAATTTACATACCGCAACAGATCCATAGACAACGCAATCTCAATTGCACTCCACACTGCCCTCACCCACCTAGATAAGAGGAATACCTATGTGAGAATGCTGTTCATTGACTACAGATCAGCATTCAACACCATTGTCCCCTACAAGCTCGTCACCAAGCTTAGGACCCTGGGACTGAACACCTCCCTCTGCAACTGGATCCTGGACTTCCTGCGAAGGCCGACCCCATGTGGTGAGGGTAGGCAACATCACCTCTGCCACGCTGACCCTCAACACGGGGGGCCCCACAGGGGTGTGTGCTTAGTCCCCTCCTGTACTACCTGTTCACCCACAACTGCATGACCACGCACGACTCAAACGCCATCATCAAGTTTGCTGACGACACGACGGTGGTAGGCCTGATCACCAGCGATGATGAGACAGCCTACGGGGAGGAGGTCAGTGACCTGGCAGTGTGGGGCCGGAACAACAACCTCCCTCTCAACATCAGTAAAACCAAGGAGCTGATCGTGGACTACAGGAAATGGGGGGGGGGGGGGGGGGGTGAGCGCGCCCCCATCCACATCGACAGGGCTGCAGTGGAACGGGTCGAAGGCTTTAAGTTCCTCGGTGTCCAAATCACTAAGAACTTAAAATGGTCCACACACACTTGCACAGTCGTGAAGAAGGTGTGACAGCGCCTCTTCCACCTCAGGAAATTAAAGGTTTGGCATGGGCCCTCAAATCCACAAAAAGTTATACAGCTGTACCATTGAGAGCATCTTGACTGGCTGCATCACTGCTTAGTATGGCAATAGCACCGCCCTCGATCGCATGGCACTACAGAGGGTGGTGCGGACAGCCCAGTACATCACTGGAGCCGAGCTCTCTGTCATCCAGGGCCTCTATATCAGGCGTTGTGAAAGGAAGGCCCGGAAAATCATTAAAGACTCCAACCACCCAAGCCATAGACTGTTCTCTCTGCTTACGCACGGCATTCGGTACCAGTGCATCAAGTCTGACACCAACAGGTTCCTGAACAGCTTCTGTCTCCATGCCATAAGACTGCTAAATAGCTAAAAAAATGGCTACGCAGACTGAGTCTCTATGCACATTCACAGGGCCCTACACACTACACACACTGATACTCCAACACATACAAATACTCACTCCATTTGCTCACACACACACACACACACACAAAATATGCATATACATTTACACATTTACACACACACTCACATACAATCATTATATACACTGCTTCTACTCTGTTTATCATAGACCCTGATGCCTAGTCACCTTACCCCTATACAGCAGTAGCAATACAATGCTATAACATATATAGAAGAGACATGAATGCTTATGGGGGAGGTGTTGATAGATATATATATATATATATATATACAGTACCAGTCAAAAGATTGGACACACCTACTCATTCAAGGGTTTTTCTTTTCTTTTTTACTATTTTCTAGTAAAAAAAAGAGTGTGCAAAGCTGTCATCAAGGCAAAGCGTGTCTATTTGAAGAATCTCAAATTAAAAATATTTGTTGATTTGTTTAACACTTTTTTGTTTACTACATGATTCCATATGTGTTATTTCATCGTTTTGATGTCTTCACTGTTACTCTACATTGTAAAAAATAGTAAAAATAAAGAAAAACCCTTGAATGAGTAGGTGTGTCCAAACTTTTGACTGGTGTGTATATATACACACAGTATATTCTGAAAGTATTCAGACCCCTTGACTTTTTCCACATTGTGACATTACAGCCTTATTCTAAAATGGATTAAACCGTTTTTTTTTGCCTCAATCTACACACAATACCCAATAATGACAAAGCAAAAACAGTATTTTTGAATTTCTTGCTAATTAAAAATTAAAATAATAGTAATAATATCACATTTGCATAAGTATTCAGACCCTTTACTCAGTACATTGTTGAAGCACGTTTAGCAGCGATTACTACTCCCTTCACAGAACAGCGCAAACTGGCTCTAACCAGAATAGAAAGAGGAGTGGGAGGCCCCGGTGCACAACTGAGCAAGAGGACAAATACATTAGTGTCTAGTTTGAAAAGCAGGCGCCTCACAGGTCCTCAACTGACAGCTTCATTAAATAGTACCTGCAAAACAGTCTCAACGTCAACAGTGAAGAGGCGACTCCGGGATGCTGACCTTCTAGGCAGAGTTGCAAAGAAAAAGCCATATCTCAGACTGCCCATCTTAATCTTTTAATTTTATTGGCCAGTCTGAGATATGGCTTTTTCTTTGCAACTCTGCCTAGCAGGCATGGGTTTTTGATAATTGCCGTAGAGTGGATCTACAGGGTTTGGCTGACCACTTTTCTATACCCATACCGAGGGTTTTAGTGAAAGCGGAAGTTAGGAAAGTGGTGTTAGAGGTATTATTGAACGAGCGAGTGCTTGAGTTACCGCCGCCTGAGCCTGCAGCTCCTGTAGAGGATGTGGCTGCTGCTCCTGTAAGCCCGTCGGCGTCTGAGGACGAGGGCGAGGCTAAGGCTCCAGCCACATTGCCCCGTTTTGACCCACTCTCCCCACTGTCCAACAGTGATGCCAGGATGGATGTCTGCTGGACACAGCTCCAAATGTAGGCGGAAGAGAGGGCACAAATCAGGCGAGAAAAGTTGGAGATGCGTAAGCTAGAGGCAGAACAGGAGACGCGTAAGATGGAACTGGAGATGCTTAGACTTGATCAAGAACTGGAGATGCGTAAAATGGAACTGGAGGAAGAGACAGCGAGATTAGTCTGCTATGCCTGCTAGTGAGCCGTCCTCACCAGCTGTGTCGTCTGCTACTTTTGATATTAGTAGACAGATCACCTTAGTACCTGTGTTTAGGGAATCAGAGGTTGACTCTCATTGATACTCATGCAAATTTTTCAGTGTCTGGTTCAGTGTTGAGCTTGGCAGCTGTGACTAGCTGGTTTCGTGTGCAGTATTCGTCAGATCGTGTTGCTAGCTGAAAATGGCTACTTTTGATTTGGATGCCTTTTTGGAAAGCCTACGTGGGGGGTTTGTAACATAACGTTTATGTTACGAACCCCGTGGCTTTAAAAGTCTAGGGTGGATGGAAAAGAGACCCGTAACATAACTCATGCGAATTAGAATATTGTCAAGGAACAGTGAGAACAAAATACACCGACAACCATATGCTACCGTCAAACACAAAATGTTTATTATAAACACACAGTAAACGGTTTGGGGAAAAGGGGCTGAGCTGGACCCAAGGAATGAAACAATAAAGTCAAAAACCCCTAAACTGATCTTGCCTGCCTCAAGAACCGCTAAGCTTACTGCTAACCATACAAAAATGCAGTGGGTGGTCCGCTCAGGTCTAAGTAGTGTGTTTAGACAAGGTTTTCCTACGGGTAGTGTATGCCCAAGGGCCACTTGCTAAACCCCCCTTTTCCCAGGCACAAACAAACAACATAGGTCCAATATGGACTAGACAGCAAACAAGTGAGTACACAAAAACAAGACACCACAGTATCCATACTCACAAAGAAAAAGAGTCTTAACATGTTGAAGACATACCACACCAGACCCGTCACCCAGATAGACAGTCCAGAGAAACTGGCCGAAACGGCTGTCTCTATTGCTGCTGCGGCTGTAGTGGGAGGTCATGTTAATGATGTGGACGGAGATGGTTTAGAGTTGCGCAATACTCAGCAGCAGTGTGCTAGATTGCCCAATTCAGAGATGCTGCTGTCTCTCCCGTCAAGCCTGATTCATTTAACGGACGGACAGTCAGATGATATTGTGAGGCTATTACACAGCTTTCCATGTCTTTTTAATGATGTTCCTACGCGCACAAATGTGTTAGAACATGACATTAATGTTAGAAATGCTGCACCTATCAACCATCATGCTTATCGTGTCAATGTCTCTAAAAGAAAGATAATGATGGATGAGGTCGGTTATTTGCTGGAGAATAACCTGGCTATGCCAAGTTCAAGTCCTTGGAGTTCTCCGTGCATTCTGGTTCCCAAACCTGATGGGATATCCAGGTTATGTACAGACTATCGAAAGGTAAATTCTGTCACAGTGCCCGACTCGTTCCCGTTACACAGACTGGATGACTGTATTGACACTGTTGGTGCTGCTACTTATGTAACCAACCTAGATATTCTAAAAGGTTACTGGCAGGTGCCGTTAACCTCACGTGCCTCCGACATCTCTGCCTTTGTGACCCCAGACAACTTCCTACAATATGCTGTCATGGCATTTGGGATGCGGAACGCACCAGCCACTTTCCAACACCTGGTTAGCCTCCCGAGTGGCGCAGTAGTCTAAGGCACTGCATCGCAGTGCTAGCTGTGCCACTAGAGATCCTGGTTCGAATCCAGGCTCTGTCGTAGCCGGCCGCGACCGGGAGACCCATGGGGCAGCGCACAATTGGCCCAGCGTCGTCCAGGGTAGGGGAGGGAATGGCTGGCAGGGATGTAGCTCAGTTGGTAGAGCATGGCGTTTGCAACGCCAGGGTTGTGGGTTCGATTCCCACGGGGGGCCAGTATGAAAAAATAAAAAATAATAATGTATGCACTCACTAACTGTAAGTCGCTCTGGATAAGAGCGTCTGCTAAATGACTAAAATGTAAAAATGTTAACACCGTATTGGCTGGAGTTCCTAATTGTAGTGCTTACCTTGATGATCTGGTAATTTATTCAACTGAGTGGTCAGATCATATTAACACTAAGGGTAGTGTGTGAACGTCTAGCAAAGTGCGAGTTTGGGAAGGCCACTGTTACTTATTTCGGGAAACAGGTCGACCATGGTCAGGTGCGCCCTGTTGATGCCAAGGTCTCGGCTATAACTGCATTTCCAGCACCTACCACCAGAAGAGAGCTACGCCGCTTTTTAGGGATGGTTGGCTACTACCATAGTTTCTGTAAACATTTCTCTACGGTAGTTGCTCCATTAATGGATTTGCTCAGTCCTGCGGGAAAGTTTGTATGGTCTGTGGATTGTCACACTGCTTTCAACACTGCTAAAGCACTCTTATGCAGTACCCCTGTTCTTGCTGCTCCAGATTTTTAACGGCCGTTTACACTTGAGGTAGATATTAGTGCCAGAGGTGCTGGTGCTGTTCTACTGCAGCCGGACCAGAGTGGAGTGGACCATCCTGTCTGTTATTTTTCTTGGAAATTTAACAAATGTCAAACTAACTATTCAACCATTGAACAAGAAGCTCTAGCTTTGTTGTTAGCTCTGCAGTACTTCGAAGTCTATGTTGGTTCCAGTGCACTACCAGTGATAGTGTATACTGACCATAACCCCTTAGTTTTTCTCCACTGTATGTACAACCAGAACCAATGCCTTATGCGTTGGGCACTTGTTGTGCAAAAATATAATTTGGAGATCCGCCATAAAAAGGGTTCGGATAATGTGATGGCAGATGCTTTGTCTCGTGTTTAGAGATATAGGATTTATTTTCTATCCCGTGAGGATGCTTTTACTCTTTGAATTTGTTTTGTGTGTTGTGATAGTACATGAGTCGCAAACCATTGTTGGTTTGCTCTTTTAAGGGTGGGAGTGTTACGGATATAGGTATCCTGTATGTGTATTTGTTTTTCCTCTCCTTACATTTGAGTTATTTAGCAGACGCTCTTATCCAGAGCAACTTACAGTTGGTGAGTGCATACATTTTAAAATTAAAAAAAAAATGTTTTATACTCCTTCAGCCCTAATCACAGGTGTGCCTTGTTTTCCTGATTGGTGGTCGTTGGGGTGTCCCACCTGTCCGACATCCGTTCATCTGCTGATTGCTGAGGTGGACCAATCCTCTGTATTGCACCACCTGTTTCTGGTTTTTCATTACCATGTCACATCCCCTGGTTTTAAAAAGCCAGTCAGTTCTGTTTTCTGACAGAGACCACTGCGCCACTCGGGAGGCTAACCAGATGTTGTGTACTCACTCGTTTGCTGTCTAGTCCATATTTACATTTTAGTCATTTAGCAGACGCTCTTATCCAGAGCAACTTACAGTTAGTGAGTGCATATATTATTTTTCATACTGGCCCCCCGTGGGAATCGAACCCACAACCCTGGCGTTGCAAACGCCATGCTCTACCAACTGAGCTACATCCCTGCCAGCCATTCCCTCCCCTACCCTGGACGACGCTGGGCCAATTGTGCGCTGCCCCATGGGTCTCCCGGTCGCGGCCGGCTACGACAGAGCCTGGATTCGAACCAGGATCTCTAGTGGCACAGCTAGCACTGCGATGCAGTGCCTTAGACCACTGCGCCACTCAGGAGGTTATATTGGACCTATGTTGTTTGTTTGTGCCTTGGAAAATGGGGGTTTATCAAGTCGCCCTTGGGTATACACTACCCGTAGGAAAACCTTGTCTAAACACACTAGTTAGACCTGAGCGGACCACCCACTGTATTTTTGTATGTTTAGCAGTAAGCTTAGCGGTTCTTGAGGCAGGCAAGATCAGTTTAGTTTAAAAAAAAAACATTGTTTCATTCCTTGGGTCCAGCTCAGCCCCTTTTCCCCAAACCATTTACCGTGTGTTTATAATAAACAATTTGTGTTTGATGGTAGCATATGGTTGTCGGTGTATTTTGTTCTCACTGTTCCTTGTCAATATCATAATTCCGTTCAAATATTTTTTATTGAACACACACAAGAATGGTGTATAGGTATGAAAGACACGTGTACAGTTCTTATCTAAACATAAGAGAACAGACATGAACAACAAGACCCAGAGTTCTGGGCACAAAACAAATATTACAAAACACGACATACAGAACAGGGACAGGTAGAAAGAAAAAGGGTAGATGTAACCCCCCCACTTATACCCCCCTTTATCCCCCCCCCCCCCTTATTCCACCCTATTCCCCTCCCGACTGCTCGGGTGGCGGGGCCAGCACACGCTGCCCAAAGGTAGATTACAATATGACAATTGAGAGTGCATTAAAAAGTACAGATTCACAGCGCCGACTGGTCCAAGTAAGAGAGGAAAGGCTGCCAGATTTGATCAAATGTTGATAATTTATTGTTCAGAATATATCTAATCTTTCTAAGTGTACAGTGTTTGCCAATTCGCTGAGCCATAATTTGGTAGAGGGCGCTTCCCTCCTTTTCCAAAACAACAAGATTAATTTTTTTGCCGAAATGAGACTGTAAGAGATTAGTTGTTTTTGGGAGTTGGTTAATCCGTTTAGGGAATCGGACACTCCCAGGATTATCAGAAGCGGGTCTGGGTCTTTTGAAGTCTCCAGAACTTCAGAGAGGACCCCAAAAATTCCACACCAATAACCATACAGGCTAGAGTATAGGGCAAAGCAGTGGAGTAGTGTACCCTGCTCAACCTGACATTTATCACACATAGGGGATGTATCAGGAAATATCCTATGCAGTTTAGTTTTGGAATAGTGTAATCTGTGTAATACCTTATATTGTATGAGACGATGTCTGGAGTTAATGGAGCAGGTGTGGATATACTCCAAGTTATCCTCCCAGTCTGCCACCGAAATGTCAGTCCCTAGTTCTTCCTCCCATTTTGCCTTAATGGCATCAGTAGAGGGTGCGCTAGCAGATTGAAAAGCGTCATATAGACGAGATATCAGTTTGTCTGAGGTGGGGCATATTTTTATGCATCTGTCAAACATGGAAGGTTTAGCATTCCCAAATGTTGGGAGGTGTTTTCTAACAGTCTCTAATTTGTAGGTATCTGAAAAAGTTACTTCTGGGAAGGTTATAAGTTTCCCTCAGCGATTCAAAGGAAGCAAAGGTCCCTCCTATATATAAATCCCCTATGGTACTTATCCCCAACTCTCCCCATCGCTCAAAGGTGTTATCAAGGTTAGAGGGGGCAAAGGAGGGATTCCTGGCAACAGGGAGCATGAATGATATTGGTCTAAGCTCAAAGTGGACTTTAATTTGCTTCCAGATTCGGACTGTGCTATGTATAATAGGATTCAATCAAATAAGTTCGAATTTTTTATGTAGGTATTCAAGAATTCGCATGAATAGGAGGTAGGGGTTCGCCGGGTAGAGGATCTATCCAAATATTGGTCTAGTACACAGTTAAGGTCCCCTCCAATGACCAGATTAGTATGGGAGATATCTGGAATCAGGGCAAGGACTCTTTTGAAAAAAGAGGGGTTATCAATGTTTGGCCCATAGATATTTAGTAGAGTTACAGAAGTAGAGTGGATCTCTCCTATCAATATTATAATTCACATGAGTTATGTTACGGGTCTCTTTTCCATCCACCCTAGACTGTTAAAGCCACGGGGTTTGAAACATATGTCATGACTCACAGGTAATTTGGATGGCATTCCCAGTAAGTCTCTGTCAGATTTCATGTGAAAACTATGACGGACCATCTGGCAAACTATTCTGTTCTCACAAGAGAAGATACTAGGTGTAGACTTAACAAAACCATTTCATACTTGCGTTCCCAAGAAAATGGGTTTGCCACCCAAACCAGAAGTTCAGGAAATCTCATTGTGATTTTATTTATTCATGGAAGGTAGCATGGGTCGTTCCACGAATAAAGTCACTTTTGCATCCCGTTGATATTTTAAATAGAAATTGTACACCAATATTGCATTTTAAAATTGTATGGGTCGTTCCATGTTATTTCTGCAAACCATGACACGCATCATCTCAGATTATTTGAAAATTGTTTCTGAAGTTAGAAACAGAAGATAAGCATTCCGGAAACATTTTGCTGAAATATAATTTGATCTCTGAGAAATTAAGCTAATTGATTGCACCCAAATTGTCAATTTTAATTTATATCATATTCAATAAATATAGTACCTAACATCCTATTTGGACCAAACTTTATCAACAATGAGTTAAACATGAGGAATCCAAAATAATGGTCAAAAGCCACCCTTGGAACCCCCACCGTGTCAGTGCAGTACAAATTGAGTGCCCTTTTCTATAAGCTTGCTGAAAGTCTGTTGTCAATTTGTTTTTCAGAGAAATAGCATTGTATTTAGTCAAACACAATTTTTTCCAACAGTTTGCTAAGAGCTGGCAGCAAACGGATAGGTCTGCTGTCAGAACCAGTAAAGGCCGCTTTACCACTCTTGGGTAGAGAAATGACTTTGGCTTCCCTTCAGGCCTGAGGATAAACATCTTGCTCTAGACTCCGATTAAAGATATGACAGACAGGAGTGGACATATAGTCAGCTACCATGCTCAGTAGCCTTCCATCGAAGTTGTCAATGCCAGGAGGTTTGTGATTATTGATCGATAACAGTAATTTTTCCACCTCTCCCACACTAACTTTACACAATTCTAACTGACAATGCTTTTCTTTTAATTATTTGTATTTTTTATGCATGAATATGATTGCTCACTGTTCGTTGTTGGCATTTCCTGTCTAAGTTTGCTGACTTTGCCAATTAAGCAATCATTAAAATAATTGCCAACATCAAATGGTTTTGTGATGAATAAGCCATCTGATCTGATTAAAGAGGTTTGTCTTTCTGCCCATAATTTCATTTAAAGTACTCAAGTTTTTTTTTCTATCAGTCTTTATATCATTGATCTTGGCTTCATATACAGGTTGTTCTTCTTTTTGTTGAGTTTAGTCACATAATTTCTAAATTTCTCCTTTTGCCCCACCTCGTTCAACCATACAGTTTTTAAATTCCTCATCCATCCATGGAACCTTAACAGTTCTAACAGTCAGTTTCTTAACAGGTGCATGTTTATCAATAATTGGAAGAAGCAATTTCATAAATTAATCAAGTGCAGCGTCTGGTAAACGGTTTGGGGAAAAGGGGCTGAGCGTCTGGTAAACGGTTTGGGGAAAAGGGGCTGAGCGTCTGGTAAACGGTTTGGGGAAAAGGGCCTGAGCGTCTGGTAAACGGTTTGGGGAAAAGGGGCTGAGCGTCTGGTAAACGGTTTGGGGAAAAGGGGCTGAGCGTCTGGTAAACGGTTTGGGGAAAAGGGGCTGAGCGTCTGGTAAACGGTTTGGGGAAAAGGGGCTGAGCGTCTGGTAAACGGTTTGGGGAAAAGGGGCTGAGCGTCTGGAAAACGGTTTGGGGAAAAGGGGCTGAGCGTCTGGAAAACGGTTTGGGGAAAAGGGGCTGAGCGTCTGGTAAACGGTTTGGGGAAAAGGGGCTGAGCTGGACGCAAGGAATGAAACAATAAAGTAAAAAAAAAAGTAAAATGATCTTGCCTGCCTCAAGAACCGCTCAGCTTACTGCTAAACATACAAAAATACAGTGGGTGGTCCGCTCAGGTCTAAGTAGTGTGTTTAGACAAGGTTTTCCTACGGGTAGTGTATGCCCAAGGGCCACTTGCTAAACCCCCCTTTTCCCAGGCACAAACAAACAACATAGGTCCAATATGGACTAGACAGCATACAAGTGAGTACACAAAAACAAGACACCACAGTATCCATACTCACAAAGAAAAAGAGTATCTGTCAGAAAACACAACTGACTGGCTTTTACAACCAGAAACAGGTGGTGCAATACATCTGGATAACTGTGCCAGCTCCTCAGAGAGAGACTGGTCACTTTCATCTAATACCTCCAATACGGCTATCACCTTTCCTCCGGCAATATCGTTGCCCATTATAACTGTCACACCTTTTCCTGGCAACATAGGATGTACTCCAACTCTGAATAATCCACTGACTGACTCGTTCACAAAGTACGTTCACAAAGTGCAATGGCACTGGGACGAATCCCATTTCAATTCCCTGTACTAACACACTGGAACCACAATGTGTATTATCGGACAAGGGCAACACATCAAATTGTATGAACGACTGCGCCGCACCAGTATCTCTTAAGGATTCTAACCCGACGCGGAGACGCTTCGTCATCTGATATGGAAACAAACCCCTCAAAAATGAACGGTTCATAACTGCGATCTGGGACTGGGACTTTCAAACCACATTTACTATGAGGCATCTGTTTTGATTCCGGCCGTACAACTGTATGAATCAGCCCAACACTCGTTGGCGGCCTGGCGTGCAGAGGCATCCCCCGTTTGCGTTTTAGCAGGAGCAATCATTAACCATATGTCCCACCTTATGACAACAGAAACAGTGACGCACATCTTTCGGGCGTACTGGATGTACTGCTGATCGACTAGGGCTAAGAGTGGGCCCTGCTCTCCGTACGAGCCGAAAACACGCTCTTGTGCATCAACACAAAGTCGTCTGCCAATACAGATACTTCCGACAGTGAGGATACTTTCTGTTCGTTTAGGTAAACTACAATGCGTTCGGGTAAGCAATTTTTAAACTCTTCGAACAAGATTAACTCCCGTAGAGTGTTAAAATAATTTACCTTACTAGCAGTGTGCCATCTGTCAAACAGATTTCCTTTGTCTCTAGCAAACTCCACATAAGTCTGAGTACGAAGAACAGTAGCTTTGACCACGTGATAATTCAAGCTGTCACAGGTTATCTCCTCATCACTGGCAGACTGGCTGCTTGTTTCCACTCCCACCGCCAGAGGGCACTGCTGCCCGTCCCTACTGTCTTGTGACGCTGTGGTACTTACTATAGGCTGCCAGTCACTGGATAAGTAGATAAATACTACACTTCAATGTTCCCAGTGACTACAAGAAGCAGGAATGTACCTGGAGAAGGAATTTAGAAACAACATTATGCATACATAGAGCAATTCACCACGGGGTTACAGTAGGACAAATCACTAGAAACACATGAACTCTATTATCACAGCTTGACTGAAATCTTTTCTCAACAAGCACATTTCAAATCTCTGCTATTATGGCTAGCTACTTGGCTGAAGCTACTCGTGTCAAATGTTCTGGCAACATCTATCAAGCGTCTAGTAACATCCATCAGCATTCCTTTGAATCAAAAGGTTGTTTGCTTGGTGAAGCCTACCGGTGTATTGCTGGATAAAAGCTCACAGTGCATAGCTTATGTTTGAATGTTAAATAACGAGGCAGAGGCATTGATGCGAGTAACCAGTCTTGTTCAGTATATTGCAAGACATCCGGGTATCTCAAGTACACCGGTAAAACACTGGAGTTGCAGTAATGAACATTTACCAACAGATGGCATCAATGTGCCATCTTCCACCCATAACATCTTCCCTTTTATAAAATAGGACAGGAACTGTCAATTCACTAACAAAACAAACCTAGTAGTAATTTCCAACATGAACAGTTAAGTATTTTTTTTATTTTTATTTTTTTATTAACCACTTAACACATTTTGATACTCTCTTCACTTTTATCTCTGTCTGTCAACAATCCCTAATGGGAAACCTACAGATTAAGTCTTTTTGGTGGCTGGGACAGACGCCCGCAGCGTGAAAAGACAGGGGGCTTGTCTGCGTGGACTGCGGGCTCCCGCACAGGCGTGTCACCTGACTGTCTAAGGGGAGTATTGATGGGCGAGGGAGTGGCCGACCTGTGATCCCCTGGCTCTTTGCCCAGTGCCTCAGGCCCCATGTGACTTGCTGGGGTTCCGTCTTTTGTCATGCGACCCCTATGACCATCCGAGTTCTGAGTGGATGCTGGCTCAGCAATCCGAAGGTCAACCCTGTTACGACAGTACAGTGATCCATTCACTTCTACCAAGTAGGAGCGTGGTGCCACTTTCTGTACACAGGATCCGAGTCTCCAGAGGCCCGTCCGGTCCCCTGGTAGTGGCTTCATTCGCACCGTTTCACCCACCCTGAGCTCAGGTAAGTCTTTTGCTGATTTGTCGTAGATGAACTTGGAGACCTGTCTTCTGTGACGTAGCTTCACCAGCACGTCTGTCACCACACATGGCTCCAGGAGAGTGCTTGCTACTGGCAGAGCTGCTTTTAAACGCCGTGCCATGAGGCGCTGGGCCGAGCTGCTATCCATGCCTTCTGTCGGGGTATTGCGCCATTGCAGGATTGCTTTCCAGGCATCTTTGCCCTCTCGCAGAGCTTTTTTGCAGAGGTTCTTTGCAATTTTGACTGCCGACTCAGCCTTCCCATTAGCTTTTGGGTGTCGTGGTGATGAAGTGACATGCTCGAATTCCCATTCTGCAGCAAATTTTCGGAACTCACATCCGGAGAATTGGGGTCCATTATCTGAAATTACCCTATCTGGCTGGCCATAGCGGGCAAACTGAGCCTTGCAGCGTTTGATCGTTGTCTCTGCTGAGAGGTCGGGGAGGAGGTCAATCTCCCAGAAGTCTGAGTAATGATCAACTACCAGCAGAAAGTCTTTGCCACTGTGCTGGAAGAAATCTAGACTTACTATCTGCCAGGGGCGCATTGGTAGCTCGTGGGACATCATCATCTCTCTCTGTTGCTCAATGGCATATTCATTGCAGATTGTGCATTTACTGACATAGTCTTTGATTTCACTCTGCATTCCTGGCCAATACAGTGTGTCACGTGCTTGTCTGTAACAGGCCTCACCTCCTATGTGACTTGAGTGCACGCGCGCCAACATCTCAGGGCGCAGAGACCGGGGAATAATGACTCTCTGACCCTTGAATATGACTCCGTTTTGAACACTGAGCTCTTCTTTGACTGGCCAATATTCTCTGGTGGCTAAAGCAGTTTCTTCCTTGCAGTCGGGCCAGCCCATCAGAATCACAGACCTCAATGCCTGGAGTTGCTCGTCCCTGTCTGTGTGCTGTCTGATTTGTATAAGGCGCTGGTCCGTAACATTGAGGTAGTCAGCCTGGTTGATGTGTTCAACATCCACTTGCTCTGTTTGTAAGCTGCACACTGCGTGTTGTTCATGCATGGAGCGTGTGTGAGTGCCTGATGCAGTAGCCCTGCTGAGCGTGTCACTCACATACATCTCTGGCCCTGGCTTATACACCACCTTGAGGTTGTAGTTTTGTAGGGCCAGTAGCATGCTCTGCAGTCGTTTCGGGGCATTCAGGAGAGGCTTGCTGAATATAGCAATAAGGGGCTTGTGATCTGTCTCTGCGGTAATATTGTCACGCCCGTACAGGTAGTGGTGGAAGCGTTGGCATGCAAATACAATGCTGAGGCACTCCTTCTCTATCTGGGCATAGTTCTGCTCTGTTGGAGTGAGTGCCCTAGAGGCGAATGCCACAGGCTGGCCCTCTTGCATGAGGCAACAGCCCAGTCCATACTGGCTTGAGTCACTCTGAATCGTGACAGGTTTTGACACATCGTAGTATCGCAGTACAGGTGTCTGGGTGACCAGTTGTTTTATTTCCCTCACCGCTGTGTCATGTTTTGGGAGCCAATGCCAGATGGTGTCCTTGTCCATGAGCCTCCTTAGTGGTTCACACACTTCAGAGAGCCGCGGTAGGAACTTGGCCAGGTAGGTGACGAATCCGACGAAGCGCTGCACTGCCTTCACGTCAGATGGGTGGGGCATATCCAAGACAGCCTTCACTTTTTCTGGATCCGCCTTCAATCCGGTGGAGGACAAGACGTGCCCATGAAAGCGAACCTCTGGCACTTTAAACTGAAGCTTTTTTATGCTTAGCCTTAGCTTGACCTGTCTGCATCTGACCATCAGGGCCAGCAGCTTGGCGTCATGGTCACATTCTGCCTCCTCATCACTGTCCCCACAGCCCACTACGAGGATGTCATCTGCTATGGGTTCCACGCCGCTGAGTCCCATCAACAGCTCGTGCTGTTTCCGCTGATACACCTCTGGAGCCACGGAGACACCAAACGGGAGCTTCAACCACCTCTTCCTGCCCCAGGGTGTCCAAAAGGTGGTCATGTAGCTGCTGGGCTCGTCAAGCTTGCACTGCAGGAAGGCATCTCTGGCGTCCACGAGCGTGAAGACTCTGGCCTTTGGGAGCTTGTAAAGAACATCCTCCAACGTGGGCATAATGTAATGTGAACGTCTCAGAGCCCGGTTGAGGTGTTTAGGATCTATGCATATCCGTAGCTTGTCTGGTTTCTTGACGATAACCATATTACTTATCCAGTCTGTAGGCTCGGTGACGGATATGATGTGGCCATCTGCTTCGTATTTGTCAAGCTGAGCCTTTGTAGCTGCTTTCATGGCCACTGGTACATTGCGAGGTGCACACTGGACAGGCTGGATTGCTGCATCCAACTCAAAGTGGACTTCGCCGGGAACTGACTCGACCGGTGCGTTGAAGACATCATGGTACTTGCTTAGGAGAGTCTCCTTGCTCAGGGGCCCAGCCTGGACTTTGTCTATAATGTTAAGATCAGCTGGGATGGTGAAGTTAATAAGCCCAAGGCGCTCGCATGTAGAACCTGACAGTAATGGCTGTTGACTAGCCTCAACTATTTCAAACTCAAGAGTGTGTTTCTGGCCACGTAAAACACACTCTGTCACAAACAGGCCTAAAGAGGTCATGAACTGGCCTGAATACAGTTTCAGCTTGGTGCTACTCTGTGTGAGTTTGTCTCTGGGCGCGAGCCTCCTTTTATCTTTAAGGCTCATAACGTTACATGTGGCCCCTGAATCTAGCTGGCATTGCTGTGGTTTATTATTAAGTAGCAGAGTGACAAACCATTTTTTTCCTTTTGCCCTTACTGCCCCTATGCACTCGCTAGCATATACATCCTCTGTGCTGTTGTTCCCTTCATCTGTGTTTATTTCAATAGAGTGCACTTTACCCTCCTTTCTCTTGCTTTTCATGCAGGCCCTTGCGAAGTGATTAGCTGTACCACAGGATTTGCATATTTTTCCATAGGCTGGGCAGTGTTCTTTTCCTCGTCCATGAGAAATGCCACAATATCGGCATGCATTGGGGTTGTCTACTGCAGAGTTGGCTGTAGTATTAGCATTAGCTGTGGCAAAAGGGAATTTCTTTATTGGCTGCCTGAATGTAGCATTGACATTGTCCATATGTTGCCTTTCTAGCTCCATGGACCTTATCTGTATATCTGTAAGCTCTGCTGCACGGCATGTCTCCACTGCCAAGACTAGTGTCAGGTCACGTTCTCTCAGCAAACGTCTGTGAGTGCCCTCATCAGTTATGCCAAGCACTATCTTGTCTCTGATCAGTTCATCTCTTAAAGCACCATAGTCACATGTAGCTGCCTTTTCCCTTAGCTTAGTGACAAAGCTGTCAATGGACTCCCCGTCCTCCTGTTTGCAACAACCGAAAACATAACGCTCGTAGATAACGTTCTTTGCTGGCTTAAAGTAAAGTTCGAGAGCATCAAGAATAGCTGTAGCGTTACCTTGCTGAGCTGCTGTTAGGTTCAGGTTGTGTTTGTATACGTGTCGGCATTCTGCTCCCATTATAGTCCTCAAAGTGGCAGCCACTACCTCATCGTCCTTTTCCCGAAGTCCCGTTGCTAGTGCATAGTCCTCCCATTCACCTCTAAACGTATCCCAGTTTGTGCTCCAATCTCCGCTGAGCTTCATAACGGCGGGAGGGGAAATGTTCGCTGCCATGTCTAAACGGTGCTAACAACACTGAAGCTAACTAGCAAACTCAATCTAGCTAAGGACAATTCCGGAGAAGTTTTACTCAACTAAGCTTTTTAAAACCAGAACAGGTGACTCTAATTTGCGGAAAGCATGGTTAGTTATCCGACTCTGACACCATGTTTGAATGTTAAATAACGAGGCAGAGGCATTGATGCGAGTAACCAGTCTTGTTCAGTATATTGCAATACATCCGGGTATCTCAAGTACACCGGTAAAACACTGGAGTTGCAGTAATGAACATTTACCAACAGATGGCATCAATGTGCCATCTTCCACCCATAACAGCTTGTTGTCTCATGCTTCCTCAAACAACTACAAACCCATGTGGGTAATAGAGTACATCCGGGTTGCATCAACGAAAATAGAAAGTTCCGCGTTTAATGTTCCTTTCACTGAGTTGTGGATAAATACAAATAAGTCAGTAGATAAACGTATTTTTGTTGACACGTGTTAGTATTATATTATCATGGACAAAGTTGTCTAGCGAACATTATCTAGCTTCATCTAGTAGCTGGTATAGCAGCTTGTGGCAAAAAGGGACATTTCTGGTAAATGTCCATGCACATTTTCGAAGGACTGTTTGTAATGTAGGGAATTTTAAAAGCACTCGTGTATTTCATCTTTTTAAAAGGAGATTCCCTTTATAATTTTGCCATACAATACATGTTTTAACCCTAAACTGGCACTCCTGATTCAATTAGTCAAAGGCTTGTAAAAGGTCTGTTGAGCCCGAAGAGAGGGTTGGGAAATCCTTCTGTAGGCTACCTTTAAAATGCATGTTGTTTCATGCTGTTATGTGTAATTTAAACATTCATAATTATTTCCCCCTTTATTTCTATGGGTGTAAGAATGCCATGTTTAGTATCAGATGTGTGGAAGCATTTCACCCCAGCCATTAATGATGATGGGAAGACTATGTACATGTGCAACTATTGTACAAAGCAATATGTAAAGAATGCCACAAAGTTGCAGGTACATTTAACCAAATGCAAGAATGCAACATTATATCAAAGCTCACGAGAACCATTGTTCTGCCATACGATGGAAGACCATAGCCACAAGAATGCAGATGACTGCCTGGCTCGAGCTATATATGCCACAGGCTCACCCCTCATGCTCACAGAGAATGTGTACTGGAAGAGATTCTTCAATATTATTTGCCCTGGATACTCTCCTCCCAACAGAGATGCTCTGTCTACTAATTTGCTGGAAGCTGAGTTCAACAGAGTGCAAGGAAAGGCGAAGGAAACAACAGAGAAGGAAGACAGTGTTGCTGTTATCTCTTAGGTGTGGTAAAATGAACGAGGGGATTGCATCCTAAATTACAGTCTCCACTATTCCACCATTGGTTTTCAAGACAACAGTCACAAGGGACAATACACACACACACACACAAACATTGCTGATGAGCTGAAAGCTGTCATCAATGACGTTGGACCACATAAGGTGTTTGCTGTTGTTATTGACAGTGCAGCAAACATGAAGGCTGCCTGGGCACAAGTGGAGGAGGCCTACCCTCACTACACCTATTGGGTGCGTAGCTCATGGGCTTAACCTTCTCCTCAAGGACATACGTTTGCAAACAATGGAAACGCTGTACAAGACAGCCAAGCAAGTTGTACAGGATGTCAAGAGCAAAGAGGAAGTGGCAGTAACCTACAGCAAGCAACATACAAATAAAAATAACTCTACACTGAAGCTGCCCTGCAACACTGGACAAGAGGAATACCTATGTAAGAATGCTGTTCATTGACTATAGCTCAGCATTCAACACCATAGTACCCTCCAAGCTCATCATTAAGCTTGAGGCCCTGGGTCTGAACCCCGCCCTGTGCAACTGGGTCCTGGACTTCCTGACGGGCCGCCCCCAGGTGGTGAAGGTAGCAAACAACATCTCCACTTCGCTGATCCTCAACATTGGGGCCCCACAAGGGTGCGTGCTCAGCCCCCTCCTGTACTCCCTGTTCACCCATGACTGCGTGGTTAACCACGCAACTCAATCATCAAGTTTGCAGACGACACAACAGTAGTAGGCTTGATTACCAACAATGACGAGACAGCCTACAGGGAGGAGTTGAGGGCTCTGGGAGTGTGGTTCCAGGAAAATAACCTCTCACTCAACGTCAACAAAACAAAGGAGATGATCGTGGACTTCAGGAAACAGCAGAGGGTGCATCCCCCTATCCACATCGACGGGACCGCAGTGGAGAAGGTGGAAAGCTCCAAGTTCCTTGGAGTACACATCACTGACAAACTGAAATGGTCCATCCACGCAGACAGTGTGGTGAAGAAGGCGCAACAGAGCCTCTTCAACCCCAGGAGGCTGAAGAAATTTGGCATGGCACCTAAAACCCTCACAAACTTTTACAAATGCACAATTGAGAGCATCCTGTCGGGCTGTATCACCGCCTGGTACGGCAACTGCACCGCCCACAACCACAGGGCTCTCCAGAGGGTGGTGCGGTCTGCCGAACGCATTACCGGGGGCAAACTACCCGCCCTCCAGGACACCTACAGCACCCGATGTCAAAGGAAGGCCAAAAATATCATCAAGACAACCACCCGAGCCACTGCCTGTTCACCCCACTATCATCCAGAAGGCGAGGTCAGTACAGGTGCATCAAAGCTGGGACCGAGAGAATGAAAAACAGCTTCTATCTCAAGTCCATGAGACTGTTAAATAGCCATCACTAGCACATTAGAGGCTGCTGCTGCCTATTGAAATCACTGGCCACTTTAAGAAATGGAACACTAGTCACTTTAATAATGTTTACATATCTTGCTCTGCTCATCTCATATGTATATACTGTATTCTATAATATTCTACTATATCTTAGTCCATGCCGCTCTGTCATTGCTTGTCCATATATGTATGTATTCTTAAATTCCATTCCTTACTTAGATTTGGGTGTATTGGGTATATGGTGGGAAATTGTTAGATATTACTGCACTGTCGGAGCTAGAAGCACAAGCATTTTGCTACACCCGCAATAACATCTGCTGAACACGTGTATGTGACAAATAACATTTGATTTTATTTTATTTTAGTTTTGTGTCAAGCCAATTCACGCAGCAACATACAGTTGAAGTCGGAAGTTTACATACACCTTAGCCAAATACATTTAAACTCAGTTTTTCACAATTCCTGTCACTTAATCCTAGTAAAGATTCCCTGTTTTAGGTCAGTTAGGATCACCACTTTATTTTAAGAATGTGAAATGTCAGAATAATAGTATTATTTCTTTCATCACATTCCCAGTGGGTCATAAGTTTACATACACTCAATTAGTATTTGGTAGCATTGCCTTTAAATTGTTTAACTTGGGTCAAACGTTTCGGGTAGCCTTCCACAAGCTTCCCACAATAAGTTGGGTGAATTTTGGCCCATTCCTCCTGACAGAGCTGGTGTAACTGAGTCAGGTTTGTAGGCCTACTTGCTCGCACACGCTTTTTCAGTTCTGCCCACAAATTTTCTATAAGATTGAGGTCAGGGCTTTGTGATGGCCACTCCAATACCTTTACTTTGTTGTCCTTAAGCCATTTTGCCACAACTTTGGAAGTATGCTTGGGGTCCATTTGGAAGACCCATTTGCAACCAACCTTTAACTTCCTGACTGATGTCTTGAGATGTTGCTTCAATATATCCACATTTTCCTTCCTCATGATGCCATCTATTTTGTGAAGTGCACCAGTCCCTCCTGCAGCAAAGCACCCCCACAGCATGATGCTGCCACCCCCGTGCTTCACGGTTGGGATGGTGTTCTTCGGCTTGCAAGCTCCACCCTTTTTCCTCCAAACATAACAATGGTCATTATGGCCAAACAGTTATATTTTTGTTTCATCAGACCAAAGGACATTTCTCCAAAAAGTACAATCTTTGTCCCCATGTGCAGTTGCAAACTGTAGTCTGGCTTTTTTATGGCGGTTTTGGAGCAGTGGCTTCTTCCTTGCTGAGCGGCCTTTCAGGTTATGTCGATATAGGACTCGTTTTACTGTGGATATAGATACTTTTGTACCTGTTTCCTCCAGCATCTTCACAAGGTCCTTTGCTGTTGTTCTGGGATTGATTTGCACTTTTCGCACCAAAGTACGTTCATCTCCTGGAGACAGAACGCGTCTCCTTCCTGAGCGGTATGACGGCTGCGTTGTCCCATGGTTTACGTTTACATCATTTAGCAGACGTTCTTATCCAGAGCGACTTACAAATTGGTACATTCACCTTATAGCCAGTGGGATATGTTGTTTACACTTGCATACTATTGTTTGTACAGATGAACGTGGTACCTTCAGGCGTTTGGAAATTGCTCCCAAGGATGAACCAGACTTGTGGAGGTCTACAATTCTTTTTCTGAGGTCTTGGCTGATTTCTTTAGATTTTCCCATGATGTGAAGCAAAGAGGCACTGAGTTTGAAGGTAGGCCTTGAAATACATCCACAGGTACACCTCCAATTGTCTCAAATGTTGTCAATTAGCCTATCATAAGCTTCTAATTTTCCAAGCTGTTTAAAGGCACAGTCAACTTAGTGTATGTAAACTTCTGACCCACTGGAATTGTGATACAGTGAATTATAAGTGAAATAATCTGTCTGTAAACAATTGTTGGAAAAATTACTTGTGTCATGCACAAAGTAGATGTCCTAACCGACTTGCCAAAACTATAGTTTGTTAACAAGAACTTTGTGGAGTGGTTGAAAAATGAGTTTTAATGACTCCAACCTTAGTGTATGTAAACTTCCGACTTCAACTGTCCATTCTGGATCCAAAGCATATTGGGAAACAAATACTTTCTGGAGAACAGATCAACAGTGCATACTATGTGATTTCTACCCTCTCACACCACCTCAATCTTTAAGAAGTCAAAGTTCTGGCAAGTCTGGCAAAGTTTTCTACCAAGAAAGGCCTTTGGAATGGGGATGGGATATGGCAACCATGCCAGCACATTTCTCCATTCTTCTGGTGGAAGGGGATCTGTGCATCTGAGGCCTTGTCACCAACCGCCTCTGTGATCCTTCAAATCCCACCACACAGATTCACAGTACCGAAGGGTCCACCACACCAGCTTCACAGTGACCCAAAGGAAGGAATTATGGACATGTCTGCGTGAGCAACTAAGGATTTAAAAATAACAAAACAAGGACAGAGAGCTAAATAAATTCATTTTTTGGAGGAGTGGGTCAGGTGCACATAAGAAAATAATTTGAAATTGATAATTTGAGCAATGTTACAAAGTAGGCTACAAGTACAATGTTAGGCTATTTCATTGAAGTTCAAAACCTAAATAAAGCCTCTTATTATTTGTATGGAAGAGTATGTCTAATTTGTTGACAAAGAGAATAAAAGGGTAGTCAGTGTGCAAAAATCCCCACACATTTTTCCCATTTGGTAAATTCCCAGGATTTCACAACCATGGGCAAAGATTATAGGAAGCATGCAATTAGTTTACAATATCTCCGGTAGAGGGCATTAGTGAACCACAGGTGAATAGCCTAGACGTAAAGCCTACAGAACTGGCAAGCAGATATCAACAGTTGACTGGAACTTAAAATATTGAACTGTTAATATATAGATAACACCAACAAGGGACTTCACATGTTAGCTACTGTCAACGCGTGCTGTAGGTGCAGTGGTGGAATCAAACGCAGGACGCAGACGGATAATCCAACAGACTTGTATTAATGCCAAACACGGCAAACGGACAACACTTGCCCGAAGGCGAAATACGCACGAAGGCGAAAATGAACAACAGCGCACAGAACAGGTGCGAAATAACTCCAGCGCAGTGGAGAGAAGCTCAACCGAGCGAAAAACACGACTGACAAAAATCAATAACACACAACACCTGACAAACACAACGAGAACTAAATAGGACACTAATGACACTAAATGAAAACAGGTGTGACAACAATCAGACAAAAGCAAACGAACATGAAACATACAACGGTGGCAGCTAGTATTCCGGAGACAACGAACGCCGAAGCCTGCCCGAACAAGGGAGAGAGGCAGCCGAAACCGTGACAGCTACAGTGACAAGAATGGGATTATACCACAAATAGCTTTACATGCTGTAGACTTAAAGTTATTTGCAATATATCTGGATGTGAGTAATAACTTAACTTAAAATGACATTTAAAATCCCAAGGTTTGCTCATGCCAAGCCCACCAAAGAGATTAGGGGTTAAACCCAATCTAAGGGAATTGTTTTGCTGTGCATTAATGAAAAGCAGCTTTGTACTATTAGTCTTTTCTAGCCTTCAATCTAACGTAGCACTGAGACGGTGCGAATGAATGCTTGAGTTGAAATTCTAAAAAGAGAGAGAAACAAGAGAAACAACACCATGGCAGCCTGTACCACATGACTGGGTTTCTGTGGTCCAGATAGGATTGTTTGTTGCTCCCTGCTGCATGGGGTCTGGAGGGGCTGTAGCTGCCTGCCTGCCTGGGAGATCTGCCTGCCTGCCTGCCTATCCACCACACATGATCCTCTATCCATCACACACTCCACTCTGCCAGCCATACTACACACACACACACACACACACACACACACACACACACACACACACACACACACACACACACACACACACACACACACACACACGCTCCCACTCTCACCCCCAACCCCAAACAGAAGAGAAGAAAGGGGAAAATATAGAAAGGGTTGAAAGGAAAAGAGAAAAGGGGACACTTATCAAACCTGCTATAGACCCTTTCTGTGTTTACAAACATTGCCGCACGAGAGCAATGTGCACAAGTTGGTGGCAGAACAAAGGGGATCTTATATATCGCTTATGAGTGCATTTCACACTACTTTTGGATTACAATTGGATTTGAAGGCTCGTATGAATGTTCTGCTTAATATAATGTTTGTGTCATCATCGCAAATCAACTGCATTATACTTAAAAAACACTTAAACTTCAACCAGTAAAATGGCTCTTTGGCTAGCTGTTGCTACAGCCTATATCAACAAGCGTTAGCATTTTAGCTAACAACTGCTGCATCCAAAATAATTTTGCAAAGATCACAACCAAATATAATATTAGCGACTGTTCAAGCAAGTATCAAAACATCATTGTAAGCGTATGAGAAACCCAAAAAGTTATTTTGTTTAGAAGTAATAAAAACATCAATCTAGGCTATGTTGAATGGGCGCAGGTGGCGATGGCTTTCTTACTGCCACCAAGAGTCGTGCGCATCTGTAAGTGACGTCAGTGTGTCGTGTACTGGAAAAGGGTCTATACTTATTTGTCATACTTCTCTCTCCATGGCCAGTGTACGTTTCTTAGCTTACGTTGTGTTTGTAATTAGGGGAACCTAAAGGCTTGCCAGGGAAAATGAGCTCTCAATAGAAGGGTAGTCAGTCTGTTTATCCACTGTTTACAGAAAAGGAGAGGAATATTTATGTTCGATAAAGTGGCTTATTATTAAACTGTATAAGACATCCCATATCCAAGAGGGGGGGATGAAAGCCTATAATGTTTTAAGTGTCACCTCTGCACTCTGTAAAAATCATACATTTGTATTTTCCACACCTATATTGCATATACGTCTTTGTTTGTTCAGACCATAGTTGTAGTCAGGTCAGTCCTATACATCTGGGGTTTTGAAAATCCATCATCACCTTCCTCTCTTCCTTTCACTACCCATCCTTAGCAGTTACCCATGCTTATCCAGCGAATGGTTAGTAGAATAATTGTCTGTTTCTGTGTGTCACATCTCCATCTTTGATTCATTGTCCCATGTGAAAGTGTGATGAGAGATGAGCAGCAGAGCTTGTCATCAGCTGGAAGTCTGGGTCAGTGCCATAGATTTACATTTACATTTACGTCATTTAGCAGACGCTCTTATCCAGAGCGACTTACAAATTGGATAACTCATCATCCAACACTAGGCCAGCTACATGTATGTACTCTGTATGTTAGGGAAAGTAATCAGATTTTTTCTTTGTGAAAAGTGGTGAACAGATAGTGGTATTGTAACTATGTGTTCTAACTAGCTATAGGTATAATAAGAGCTCACAGTTTTTTCTGGTCATGTCACACACAAAGAAATTATACTTAATTATAACTTTACATTTGCAAGAAGCACACCATCCTGCGGTACTCTTTACATGTTAAGCCATATCAATTAAACATAACTTGAGTTTGCTAATTAAGCTAAGACAGTTGTGTACTCCTACATGTTTAAAGTTCTATCTCTAACACATACTGTAGATTAGTCAGTGTGGAGTCAGAGGTCCGTGGGTGTGTGTTGATGCCAAGGAAAGAAGACTCCCACACAGCAACTGGCTGTATGGTGCTGCAGACAGTTGGTCAGAGATATATTTTCTCAGGAACTTTGTACAAAAACAATCTCAAACTGCAGGAGCTTTAAACAGATAGGTAAGTTCTAAATAAATACATCAGTATTATATTAAATAATGTTATTACAGCTATACAAATTATATGAGAGGAGAACACTGTAGATAGAGGCATATAAAAACCCAATAGAACATAGGATGAGATCTGGTAACTCATCTTAGGGTTAAGTATGAGGAACCCCTGTGTGTTTGTACCAAACAGTCTGTCCATCCCTATTGTAGTAATCTGTCAGCATCCCACAGCCCTGGGGTCACTCATAAGGGGCCATGGTGACACTCCTTTTGTCTGCCCCTCCCCTCTGATCCAGGGGTCATCCATTTAGCACAATTTGAGCTTCCAATCCTGTTACTTCTGCTGACTGTCAGAGGGCCATGGAGTGTCTGTCTGGATAACTATAGTCACACTCAGTATGTGTTCCAAATGGCACCCTATTCCGTATGGGCCCTGGTCAAAAGTAGTCCACTATAAAATAAATAGGGTGCCATTTGGGCGGCAACCTCTAACACTTCTCCATTCTCAGTGTTTGGACTATACTCTCCCACTCTGAGTGAAGCTGAGAATGCAGGCTCTGGCTCTCCAGTGTCACTTTATTCACTAACATGAAAGGGAGCTCTAAGCAATCTTGTATGATGAAGGAAAAACCCTTAGGGATTTAGAGGGTCTTTGTTGAGAGTGTTCCTCGGGTTCTCTCAATGTGGTATTACTCATAAGGGGAGAAGTGACTGCTAGAAGAACTGTGCTAATAAGCTCCTCTCAACTGTTGGTGTGCCATCTCATCTGGGGGAGTTGAGTAGTGAGAGCAGAACACACATTTCCGTTATTCGCTGTACCATGAACAATATTTTATTGTAAGCATAGGCAGACACCTGGCATCAGGGTTATTATCAGAGAACTCCTTAAAATGATTACTATAGTATAGACCTCCAGTCCTCCCCCTTGGATTTCAGTCAAGGCCTCAGATTCCTTTAGCCAGAGTCCCGAGCCGCTCTCACTGAGTTGAATAAATGAAATCAGTGACTCATGACCTGAATTCACTTAACAGTGACAAAGAACAATACATAGCCCACTGCAGCTGAGAGACAGATGTGCACCATCAAATAAAAACTTTGAGGCCAGTTTATGATGCAGGACATTTTTCAGATTTCTGAGGAGTGTACGGCTGCACGTACAGCTTGGGTAATGACTATTAATGTGACCATAACAAGACATGTTATTATGTATTTTTAGAGTGTGGAATAAATGTAAAAGAATGGGTCACTAACAATGCCAACAAATGGGTATCAATCATTTTTTCTTCTGCACACTGAAAACATTATTGGGGTAATAGAGGAGCAACAAAGTTCCAGTGAATATCGTTATATTATACTAATGATTTGGCATGGATATAGTTAATATTTTTACCAAACATATAATTTATGTCAGCATTCAACTCATGCATTCCAGAGACACAAAGCTGAGAGTTATTTTGAGTTCTATCAAAAGGAATCTCCTCTCACTGGAGTAACATTTCTCAAATGTCAGGATTGTTCTTGTCACCCTGTAGAGCAGACCTTCAAGAAAATGTCATTTCAGTGAACTGAGAGCTAATTTAAACTGTATCACTATGAACCAAATGTTGGCACCAACAATATGGAAGCAATAGACAAAAAGTGACAGGACACATTTTATTTTCCATTCAGGTATGAAATGTCTATTGTGAGTAACAATGTTTACATACCCAGTATGGACTGTGTGGAAACCAATCCTGCAGTACTGGAGACAGTATATAGCTCCCATTAGGGATCGCTCTGAGCCTGTGAGTGCACTGAGCTTTAGCCATTTCTCAGGGATTATTGGTGATATGAAAGGCTGTAATGTCCATGCAAAGCCATCCATGGATGGATGGAGGGAGCGAGAGGAGACGAGAGGAGAACACTGGGAAGGAGCTCTCCTGGCAGCGTTTCCCCCTCTCTGCAATCTCAGAGCTCTGACAAACTCCCTGACTTCTGACCTCCAGCAGTCAATGGTCTAGTTGGGTATTCAATCTCACACTTCTACCTCTTTACTTCTACAGAGGATTACACTCTCCTTTCTCCCAGTGGTGTAATATGTCAGAAATCTGTTGTTTATTTAGCTACTGATCCCAAGGTGTAATATTGCCGGATTGTACACTATTTGCTTTTTAAGCATATTGTACATGCAGTATTCCGAAGTAAAGATAATTTGCTGCATTTGTAGCGGCACCACTTTTTTGTGTACAGTTGTAATAAAAATAGTTTTTCGTAGGAAAAGCAAATGATGTAGCATATTATAGAAAGTCTCTACAGAGAGATACACTCATTCCACTTGTTTACGCACCACAGGAATTAACCTCATTATGTAGTGGGGGAATTTTCAAATACCAAAATGCTCTATTATATTCGTTATTTTTCTCTCTCACAGTATTATTCTAATTCTGTTTCTCTGACAAGGCCCAGACAGAATCCCTGGGTGCGGACATTGTTTCCCTTGTGCCTCAGTTTGGTGTGGAGACTAGCAGTGGCTCCCACTGGCTCTTTAGAATGAAATACTGAAGGGGGCTTCACAATGGATCTTTGTGCCTGAAAAACAGTGATGTCATAGTTTCCCAGGCTTTCCCCCCTGAAATGCCGAGCAATGGGGGGAGAGGAGAGGTGGGGCTATGCTCCAACTTTTTTGTGGTAAACAAAGGAGCAGAATCCATCGTGGTATTACTCTGGCCTTCTAGGGGGTCTTCTTCTCTAAGTCTTGCAGCGCTCCAACACAGCTGGTCAGCATCACAGGCCCTCCACAGGAGTTGCAGTACAACACAGGTACAGTAGACAGTAACACATACGGATGGGCATTTATTATACAACAACAGAGGGTACACAAACACTGGGAACCGGGCTGTGTATTCTCCTTAGGCAGGTAGGTGTTCATCAGCCAGAAAATATATTCAGACAGCACTGGGCTGGGCGGGGGGAGAAACCACATCCTATTTTTACAGTCATTATTCCTGGGGAGGCATCAGGGTCATGTTAAGAGTGTGCCCAGATGAGTGGGAATTGATGTTCTGGGGCTTAGAGAGACTCTTCAGACTGACTGTTTCATCTCCACACCTCATTTATGCACTAGCATGTCCTCATAGATGGAAGCACTGTGCCAAGCTGGTGTCGAAACCTACTCCCACACCCACTGACATAAGGCTCAGGCACAATTATGAGCTTTACTTTCGAGTGCCATCAGAGTCATTTAAAAATCATTAGCTAACTATCTTCCAAGAATCAATGGAGGGTGATACGTAAACAATTTGTGCACCTGATAAGACAACCTCGGACAAATCTTGTGGGTTGGTAAAGCAATTAGCGAGGTCAAGAACGATGGACATTATTTTCCATTTCAAAGTGTCTAGAGAGGAAGGTCTTGAATCATTACAAAATCAAATTTTTACTCTACCTTACATTGGTCTGCAGAATCCATATCCGGAAAGATTGCTACATAAAATCTATTGTATTTCAAGATGTGAGACAGTAACGCGTCTCATGGCCAAGGGAGATAGCAGGAAGGCACTGGACAACAGTCTTTCAGGTGTTTCATTTACAGCAAAGCACATTAATATTTACAAATGGAAAAATATACAATAAACTGTCTAACACTTCACAGTGTGCTGCAGCTTCTTTATCTTAAAGCTGCACTTAAGAATGCCTCAACAAGCATCTTCTAGCTTATAAATGGCAGATGGAAACTAAACCCCTGCACCAAACTTTGCGCCTCCAAACTGGGCATGAATAGTCACCTAATCAGTTATATCGCCTTCCCCTAGAACGGATGGGCAATAATTTTGGCATGTATTTTGAAATTCAACGGAGGGCCACACAGTTTTCTTAAGACTGATTTGTTTGTCAAAATATATTTGTGGGCCAGAAAAAAGGACAGTTATTTCTAAATGTATAGGTCCATTATCATTTCTACATACAGTGCCTTGCAAAAGTATTCATCCCCCTTGGCGTTTTTCCTATTTTGTTGCATTACAACCTGTAATTTAAATGGATTTTTATTTGGATTTCATGTAATGGACATACACAAAATAGTCCAAATTGGTGAAGTGAAATGAAAAAATTACTTGTTTCAAAAAATTCTAAAAAATAAATAACGAAAAAGTGGTGCGTGCATATGTATTCACCCCCTTTGCTATGAAGCCCCTAAGTACGATCTGGTGCAACCAATTACCTTCAGAAGTCACATAATTAGTTAAATAAAGTCCACCTGTGTACAATCTAAGTGTCACATGATCTCAGTATATATACACCTGTTCTGAAAGGCCAAAGAGTCTGCAACACCACTAAGCAAGGGGCACCACCAAGCAAGCGGCACCATGAAGACCAAGGAGCTCTCCAAACAGGTCAGGGACAACGTTGTGGAGAAGTACAGATCAGGGTTGGGTTATAAAAAAATATCAGAAACTTTGAACATTACATTGAGCACCATTAAATCCATTATTAAAAAATGGATAGAATATGGCACCACAACAAACCTGCCAAGAGAGGGCCGCCCACCAAAACTCACGGACCAGACAAGGAGGGCATTAAGCAGAGAGGCAACAAAGAGATAACACTGAAGGAGCTGCAAAGCTCCACAGCGGAGAATGGCGTATATGTCCATAGGACCACATTAAGCCGTACACTCCACAGAGCTGGGCTTTATGGAAGAGTGGCCAGAAAAATGACATTGCTTAAATAAAAAAATAAGCGAACACGCAAAAGGCATGTGGGAGACTCCCCAAACATATGGAAGAAGGTGCTCTGGTCAGATGAGACTAAATTGAGCTTTTTGGCCATCAAGAAAAACGCTATGTCTGGCGCAAACCCAACACCTCTCATCACCCCGAGAACACCATCCCCACAGTGAAGCATGGTGGTGGCAGCATCATGCTGTGGGGATGTTTTTCATCGGCAGGAACTGGTAAACTGGTCAGAATTGAAGGAATGATGGATGGCGCTAAATACAGCGAAATTCTTGAGGGAAACCTGTTTGTCTTCCAGAGATTTGAGACTGGGACGGAGGTTCACCTTCCAGCAGGACAATGACCCTAAGCATACTGCTAAAGCAACACTCGAGTGGTTTAAGGGGAAACATTTACATGTATTGGAATGGCCTAGTCAAAGCCCAGATCTCAATCTAATTTAGAATGTAGTATGACTAAAAGATTGCTGTACACCAGCAGAACCCATCCAACTTGAAGGAGCTGGAGCAGTTTTGCCTTGAAGAATGGGCAAAGATCCCAGTGGCTAGATGTGCCAAGCTTATAGAGACATACCCAAATAAACTTGCAGCTGTAATTGCTGCAAAATGTGGCTCTACAAAGTATTGACTTTGGTGGGGTGAATAGTTATGCACGCTCAAGTTTTCTGTTTTTTTGTCTTATTTCTTGTTTGTTCCACAAGAAAAAATATTTTGCATCTTCAAAGTGGTAGGCATGTTGTGTAAATCATATGATACAAACCCCCAAAAAATCATCAACATTTTAATTCCAGGTTATAAGGCAACAAAATAGGAAAAATGCCAAGGGGAGTGAATACTTTCGCAAGCCACTGTACTTTCTATCTGGGTTAAGAGCGTTTTTTAAGCATAGCCTGGAGTCAATTGTATGACATTTGTAGGGATGCACCGGTGGGATAATTGTTTTATTTTAGATTTGATGGCCTTTTAAACCATTCTAGCACAGATACAAACTGCAAGTTTCTACGTTCATAACGGTAATAAGTCACAAAAATGTTGCTTCTCCTCATATTCCCAGAATTATCTGCTTTGTGATTCACCCAAAGAAGACATTGAGAATGATGAATGAGGAGGAGATGAAGATGGAAGGAACCACCTGGAATGAAGTCGAGAAAACCACCCAGAACAGAGTTCGCTGGAGATGCACCGTTGAGGCCCTTTAAAGGAATAAGACAAGTAAGTACAGTATAGTGTGCCACTGCCATCCCCCATTTAACATAGCAGACAGGTGTGCAGGAAGGAAGAGCCAGCCAGCCTAACAAACAAACACAACTCATTTTGGCACTACTGTAACAGATGATTTAGAAGGCTGCGAATGTTGTGGAAAGCGCAAATGTGGTATAGCTTTAATTGGCTACGAACAGTTGAACCAAATGTGAGAATCAGACGTGTGTGAACAATTTAGAATGGAGGACTGTTACTTTTCATTGCATTGTTTAGAATAATGTAAGAGTACTTTATATTTTTAGCCATCTCCAATGAGAGTTTTGAGTTCCATCAATCCTATATTCCTTTGTTTCTACTGTGTTCTAGACCATTTTTCACACTCAGATCCTGCGCCAACACAATGTTTAGGGCTCAGTTACAATAACATTGGCACAGCAAGTATTACATTCACATCCCTATTGCCATGCCTAAAATAAATATTCTGCTGTGTAACACATTGCATAATTTGTGTCTATGACATCTCTATTTATCAAAACAAGAGCAAGGAAACGACAGATCCAACATACGTTGAGTGTGTGTTTATGTGTGCAGTCCTTCATATGATGATTGTTTTTCCTCTAACCTTTATTTGTATTTATTTTTCCATCTAACCAGAGCACAGAAAGATTGACTACTCCTGGAATGAGAAGGAGAAGACTGCCCAAAGTCAAGTTCGCTAGAGAGGCATCGTTGATGGCCTATGTTCCTCATGGGGCAATGGGCCTAAATAAGTAAACAATTAACCTTTATTTAAAGCAGGAAGTACCATGAAGATAAATCATGTGTTTTCCAGTTTCATTGGTACTAAAGAGGTGCAGAGGGTTTTAATGAATAATCCCAGTCACAGTGAATTATTGACATGATAGGCCTTCATATCTCCCATGGCTGTGCAGACCTCTGGAACAAACAGCACTAGTCCACCTTTAACTATCAACACGACACTGGCCTTGCATAACTATGTCCCCCTAACACACACACATATTGCATATCCAAGCAACATGCAGTCGTGCACACTGAGTCAGGCATTTTCCCCTCACATTCCACCCCCAGTACATGACTGCTGCCCTCCCACCCCACTACAGGACCTACATATCAAGTGTGTGTGATATAACAGTGTGTGGTGTCTGCACACATTAACCTGAGAGTCAAAAGACAGCAAAGGCTCTCCCTCGCCACAAAGGAGGAACTTTAGTGCTGTTGATATTAATGTGTGTTAGCACTGCTGGAGGTGGGTTGCCATGGCAAGAAGGGTGTTTGCTATGTTTCTCTCTGAATAGATGATTATAAATATGTTTGGGCCAATGCACCTTCTAATATAAACATGAATGTGAATGTAAGTTATTGGTTAACAAAAACCAAAGCAGGAGAACATTGAAAAATGTACTGACTGAGAGCTTTTAATAGCAGTGCCTGTCACCTAATCATGGCCATTGATTGCATTTAAATGATTACAGCATAATAAACAACCATTTATGACAGAATAAGACACTAGAATGGCAGAATAAGACACTATTTAGCCAATATTGAAGAAAATGCAAGATATCAAATTTAAGAAAAAGATACCACATTTCACACACCAAAATTTGTGTGAGAGAGAGAGAGAGCGAGAGAGAGAGAGAGAGAGAGCGAGAGAGAGAGAGAGAGAGAGAGAGAGAGAGAGAGAGAGAGAGAGAGAGAGAGAGAGAGAGAGAGAGAGAGAGAGAGAGAGAGACTCGTATGATGTTCGACTCAATTCATCTCACCCAGCAGCGCATATTTTCAGAGCGCGCACAGCTAATCAAAGAATGATCCGTGTCCACTGCGCACGCACAACTATTCATTTTTGGCCACTAGAAAACACCAACCACCGGAATGGGTGAACGACTTGCCTACACTCCCATCATTTTATGTCCATCATTTTCTTGCTATGAGTAGAATGGTTTTGTTTTTCTCCGCTGCAGCTTTTGCTTTGGATGGCATGCTATCTCAAGAAAGGACGAGCCCCTCTTCTCTCACATAAGCATAATACTTAAGAGAGAGACATACAAGCCCTATGCAGGTGAACATTAGGGGAGCTAACTATAGAATTTCGCGTTGCATTTCTTTATTTAGTGTCAAGTGTTACTTGGAAAGTTACGATTTTTTTGTTGCATTGAACTAATTGGACACAAACAGCAGAGAATACGGAGAAAAACGCAGCAAGAGTCGAGAATCATAAGAGGACCTCTCGAGCAAGCCTCGACATCTCACCGAGTCTCAACCTCATATCTCAGGAAAAATGTCATCTCAAACTAGAGTCAAGAAGGACAAGGAGATCATAGGAGAATATGAAACGCAAGTCAAAGGTGGGTAATAAAAGATATGCAAATTAGAAAAAATGTTTGGATCTTGTGTCTGCATAAATAGCCCTGCAAGCTAAATGACACATGGGACAAAAGTGGGAACGCATAAAGGCTACTGTATTTTGAAACAAATAGTCGCAATACAGCATTTCAATGAATCATAAGTAAATAACGTTTTGCTTTTGTGCCTCTGCCAGTTCTGAGTGCAGTAGAGCAGTAGACTGAGAGTCCATCACTCGTTGGATCTTCATGCCTGCTATAAATTAGGTTACTCATTGGGTCAACCTGGACTCAGAGCATTTCGTATTATTCTGTATGTAAATCCGATCTTGCCATTTAGTATGAGATGTTATGTTTCGTATGGGATGTATTAATTTGTGGATGTCCATAATCTATTTCGTATGATATGTTACGAATTGCAATTCGTGCAATATGTTACGAATTTGAAAATGTACAATATGTTACGAATTTGCTAAACGTATGATATGTTATGAATTCCAATTTGTTTTTGCTAGAATTGGCTAGGTAACTAACGCTAACGTTAGCTAGCTGGCTAACGTTAGCTAGGCTAGGGGTTAGGGTTAAGGTTAGGAGTTAGGTTAAAGGGTTAAGGGAAGGGTTAGATAAAAGGGTTAGGGGAAGGGTTAGTTAACATGCTAAGTAGTTGCAAAGTAGTTAAAAAGTAGTAAGAAGTTGCTAAAATGCTAAAGTTGTCTGTGATGAGATTTGAACAAGCAACCTTTTGGTTTCTATACATTCGCGTTATATGCTTACCCATCCACCCCGACCAACCACCCTACTTTAGTTTTTGCCTTAAGTAACCTTCTGTCTTATGTAACCATACCAAAACATAAAATATATTACTAATTTGAGTGTCCAATATTTACATTTACTATGTTACGTCTAGTCTATGAGAACAGGCAGATTGGGTTGGCCAGTGGTGGTTAGCTTGGTCACCTTTATCATCAGCACCACTATTCTTTGTAGCTGTTTTGCAGGTGATATGTCAATGAACTTCTGTCGGCCTATTGATTAGGGCCCATTAATAAGGCCAGTGGACATGTGGGAGAAACCCCAAACGTTCAAATGTTTCCTCCTTATGATAATATGATTCATAGCTGAGGTCCATTCTTCAACGATGCACCCTAGAAGACGGATGGGTCATAGTAAAGATTTAGAAAGGTGGACTCGGACATGGGCTTTTCCGTCTGGTTTGTTTTAGGGTCAGTGTGTTTATTTATTTTATTACTCTTATTTTACAAGGTAAGTTGACTGAGAACACACACACACACACACACACACACACACACACACACACATAGATGAATGATTAATACGGTAATCTACATTATATTGCATGTGCCACCTTGGGAATAGGCTACAAACAATAGTAGCCTGCATTGGAAATATGATAAAAAATCCATGTGCCAGAATTCCTTGGAGGAAATATCCCAGCTCTCAGAGTGTCATTATAATTAATATAGCTGGATTAAATATAAACATACTGTAGCATGACATACCCCTACAGTATGTGTGTTTTTCTGCCTCAAGCTGGCTGATGTTTATGAAGTCACAGAGCACCCTCTGAGCATCAAGCTGATCTGTGTGTGTGTGTGTGTGAGTGAGAGTGAGGTGGAGGGGAAGGGGGTCTTTGCTGTCTGTGCTGTGACTGAACAACATTGCAGGTCTTTTAGGGTCTGTATTCAGGCGTATGTGGCTTCTGCTCTGAACAGATGTTTTACTCTATCAGGGCATCAAACACATCTCCCCAGAGTCCAGACAGCTGACTCTCACAGGGGACATATCTGGGTCTGGCTGATGGGTCTTCTCATGTGGATGATAGGCTCTTAAGGTGTAATGAAACAAATATATACAGATGTTGTTTTTCATGCAGCTTATAGTGAAATGTTATGATAATTTCTATGAATCTTTATGCCATGTTGTGTTTTTGCCTCTTGGTTCTTTTGACCAATCACATCTGATATTTTTACGTAAGCGCTTTTTCAGAGCTGTTCTGATTGGTCAAAAGACCAATTAGTGAAAAAAAAGATCAGAATTGGGCTGCCTGTCTAAACGCAGCGTTAGAGAATCTATATATATTTTATTGTCACATACAGCAGGTAGGTGCATGTGTTGTTTTACAGGGTCAGCCATAGTAGTAGAGCACCCTTGGAGCAAATTAGGGTTAAGTGCCTTGCACAAGGGCACATCGACAGAATTTTCACCTTGTCGGCTCGGGTTTTTGAACCAGCGACTTTTCGGTTACTTGCCCAACGCTCTAACCGCTAGGCTACCTACTGCCCAGACTCTAATTAGGCAAAAGTAGGTTTAGTTTATTTGACTGAATGTCTTACTCTGGGCCATACTGTCACGATCGTCTAAGGAAGCGGACCAAGGCGCAGCGTGTTTAGCGAACATGTTGACTTTATTTAATTAAAGCAACCACGAAAACAACAACATAAATGACGATAGTGAAGTCCACAGTGACAATGACTGACTAGGAACAAAAACCCACAAACACACGGTGAAGACACACAGTTTAAATATGGCTCCCAATCAGAGATAACGAGCCGACAGCTGACACTCGTTACCTCCGATTGGGAGTCACTCAATACAAACATAGACATCGACAACCT